GAATATTCCCTCGGAAATCCCAAATATTCCGACGGATTAATATTCCGTCGGAAATTTCGTCAGAATCTTAATTAAAAAAAAACCCTTTACAAAACAGAAATCCAAACCCTAACCCTTTTTTTTTGAGGCCGCCCCTTTTCTTTCTTTGCCTCTCTTCTCTTTCTTTCCTCTCTTCTCTTTCTCTCTCCTCCTTGTCCGCCATTTTCCTCTCCTCTTTCTTTCCTTTTATTCTTTTTCTCTCTCCTCCTGGTTAGCCCTCTTTCGTCTCCTTCTTCCTCTATTTTCTTTTCCTTCTTTTCTCTATTCTCTACCCGCATCATTCTTCTCCTTTCTTCCTTTCATGGTAATACGGCCAAATTCGACCATGAAACCTCTAGATCTAGAGGTTTCATGATCGAATTTGGCCGTATTAAACCAAATTCGTGTGACATTCGAAGCAAAATTCACCGTTTAAGGTATGTTTTTTTTTATTTTTTTTTTTTTTTTTTTTTTTTTTTCACACGTTTCGTGTGGTGGTCGTGATTGTGGGCAGTTGTGGGTGGATTTTGGGTTAGGGGGTTTTCTTGGGTTAGGGTGGTGGTAATTGGTGGATGTGGTAAAACGGTGGTAGTGGTTGGTGGATGTGGTAATTCGTAGGTTAGGGTGGGTCTGGGTTAGGTCGGTTCAGGGTTAGGGTTGGGATGCAGGGTGGGTCTTGGGTAAAGGGTGGGGTGGGTTTGGGTAAAGGGGTAGGGGTAGGGGTGGGTCTGGGTAAAGGGGTTAGGGTGGGTGGGGGTCTGGGATAAGGGTGGACGTGGTTATGGGTGGGTTTGGGTTAAGTGGTTAGGGTGGGTGTGGGTCTGGGTAAAGGGGGGTTAGGGTTGGTCTGGGTAAAGGGTGGGTGTGGGGTTGGTCTGGGTTAGGGGTGGCGTGGTTAGGGTGGGTTTTGGGTTAAGGGGTGGGGGTGGTTAGGGTGTGCGTGGTGGTTAGCGTGGGGGGGCAGGGGTGGGGTGTCTGGTGGGTGGGGGCTTGGTGTGTGGTTAGGGTGGGGTGGTGGAGCTGGGTGTGTGGTTAGGTGGGGGGCAGGGGGGTGGGCTGGGTGTGTGGTTAGGGTGTGTGGGTGGGAAGGGGTGACGCTGGGTGTGTGGGGTTAGGGTAGGGGCAGGGGGGTGGGGTGGTCTGGGTGGGTGGGGGTTTCGGGTGTGTGGGGGGGCAGGGGGTGGGGTGGTCTGGTAGGTGGGAAGGGGTGGCGCTGGGTGTGTGGTTAGGGGTGGGGGAGGAAGAGGTGGGGTGGTCTGGTGGGTGGGGCTGGGTGTGTGGTTAGGGGGCCAGGGGGTGGGGTGGTCTAGTGGGTGGGAAGGGGTGGCGCTGGGTGTGTGGGGGCAGGGGGTGGGGTGGTCTGGTGGGTTGGAAGGGGTGGCGCCGAGGGCTGCTTTTTTTTTTAATTTTTTTTAATTGACTTTTCCGACGGAAATTTCCGTCGGAATATTCCTTTTCCGACGAAAAATTCCGTCGGAAACCAACCACCTCCGACGGAAATATCTGTCGGAAAATTGCGACGGAATTTCAATTAAAGTCAAAAACGGCGCCGACAGAATTAGATCTGTCGGAAATTCTGTCGGAATCACCTCTTCCGACGGAATTTCTACCGGAAAAGGTCGAATTTCCGACAGACTACTTCCGACGAAATTCCGTCGGAAGGCTTGATTCCGACGGGAAAATTCCGTCGGAATCCAGCTGTTTTCTTGTAGTGTACGAAGTGCGTCACCATCTAATATTACGTTGGTCAAGTTTTGTTTGACATAATTAGCAGTATATGTCATTGAGGTTGCATTGTCAAATGTTATAGACATGATTTTTTCGCGAAGGTTGTATTCATTTATTGCTTCCATTAAATGGTGAGCAATGTTAATATCGGTGTGGGGGTATTCCAGCATTTTGAAATGAATTATTCGTATTTGTAACAACCATTGATCATCTACCCAATGGCAAGTCACACATAAATAGTGATATTTATAACCACTATCCCAAGAATCGGCAGTCAAAGACACTCTACAATTAAGTTTACTCAATTCGTCTTGTAATCGCATTTTGTACTCTAGGAAGTTTTTCATGGCGGCGGAACGAACGGTTTTCCTAGAGATTCTTTTATGTTGGGGTTGTAATGCTTTGTTAATGTAAGTGTTAAATGGGTCACTTTCGAAGAAAAGAAAAGGTTGTTTGGCATGTACTATCATTTTCCCTAGTTCATCCCTATCCCTCTCATAGTTGTAGGTAAAGCCGTGTGGATGGAATTAGGAAATTTTTGTCTGAGTTGGATCACTAGCTGGTTTTGCATAACTTTTCATGTGTCTATTTAAGTGTCCCGTCCCGGACTTGGATTGTGCCGAGTATATATTACCACATGTTTTATATTTTGCTCTTGTTTGGGCTTTATTTAGCATAAAATAATGCCATACATCACTTTTGCGGCTTTTGATATTTACCATATCACTTTCGGTTAACCATTGCTTTTGTGTGTTTGGGAATTGGGTGTTTGTAGATTCGGGGATTTGTTGGTTAGTAGTAGAAACGGAGGCATTTAGGGTATCTTGTTGGCTACCTTGGCTAGAGTAAAAAATTTGTGGGTCAAAGAAATTAGGTGGGAATTGATTGAATTGTGGAATTGGTTTTGTGGTGGAAATTGGTTTTGTGAAAATTCAGGCATATTATTCATGTTATAGGGTTGAAAATCGGAAGTACCATCGTGCCTAAATTGTTCAAAGCCTAGGGGGACGTTACTGGGGTCATTGGTCGGACTTAAAATTGGGGGGGGGGGGGTAATTGGATTAGGTGATTCCCTAGACCTTTACCACGGCCTTGCCTAGAGGATGATGGGTTGTTCGTGTTTGGTGATGCCATAATTAACAATAATAACAATTTTAACAATAACAATAATAATAATAATTAATAACAACAATTATAACAATAACAATAATAATAATTAATAACGACAATTATAACAATAACAATAATAATAACTAATAACAATAATTAGAACAATAATATTAACAACAATAATAAAGATTAGTTAGATCTTACAACCGTGCTTCAACGCTTTCCACTAATAACGATCATGAACTTTTAATTTTTTTCGATATTAATAAATAATAATTAGAGAATATAAGAGAATAAGAGATTAAGAGAATCAGAGATTAAGAGAAGAGATGAGTTGAATTGTGATTTGGAAGTGAAGTGAAGGCAAATTGGGAAAAAGAGCCGCTAATGGCCGTTAGAAAGAGGGAAGAGCAACGACACAATTGAGCTTTCAACGACTCTAATTATAGCCGTTTGGCGTGCCAGGCCGGGTTGGCACACGGGCCGTGCCTGACGAGCTGGCACGCAGGCCAAGAGGCAGGTTTATGTCGGGCCGTGCCGGAAATTTGCATATTCTATCCGTGGCACAGCCCATGGCACGCCAGGCGACGACCGTGCCAGGCCGGGCCGTGCCGTGCCACGCCGACTATCGTGCCGGGCCGGGCCACCCGCAGGCCAACCCAGCCCGTGCCCAACTTTGAATAAGATGGTGCAGTTACATGGTCTTCCAACCAAGTTCAAGCAATTCGAAATTTGTTATGACGATATTAGTACGTAGGTTTGTATTCTTTGAAGGAAGCTTATAATTGGACTTGAATTTCCGAATGGTTTAGTTTATGAGATTGAGGAGGGTAAATTATGCACAACAATGGGCAACTACAATACTTTAATATCCATTCTTGGATATTTGCAGCTTCTTGATGTTGATGTTGGGTATGATCCTAAAAATGAGTCCTTGTATTGAGAAAAGACCACATGCCCTTATCCTTGATGATAATTATCTATCCTTGATATAGATTAGTAAGAAATTTCAATTCTTTACATTTGTAATGGGAGGTTTTCGGTTCAATTCTGGACAAACTTAATTTTAATAATGTTTAAATTATCATTATGGTAAAATTAGGTCATTAGTAAAAAGTCATATGAATCCACAAAAGAAATTTGAAATACTATTGTTGGGAGGATCTTGCACTATCACTGCAAAATGAACATCTGATTATATTATTAATGACTTTATCGTAGTATAATGCATCCTTGTTGGTTGGAGAGACAAATCGACAATCCAACGATTCTTTGTAGTTGTGATGATTTCTATCTAATTATTCATCTTATTGTATTCGAAAAATTGATAACTTTTTCAACTCCGCATAATTTTTCACCAACGCATCAATTTCAAGTCAATCCATTACAACTATTATCCCGGATTTCAAAGTAAGAAAAGTTTTTCACGAAAATAGGAGGAGAAAAACCTTATTTTTCAAAATAGATTGAAAATCCTTTTTTTCGAGGGAGAAAATTTTCTTTAAGGAGAAGTATTATTATTCACCTAGAAAAGCAAAAAGAAATCCCAAACAAACTCTAAAGAAACAAATATTGGAGCTTTTCACGGATAAAAAACGATAAAATCCCTTCAATATTCGATAATGAAAGTGGGTTTAAAAGAGAGGAAATAGAAGAGACCGTAATATATCAACCTAGCTAAACATAACTTAATTTTAACATGACATCATGTTTAATTGCCTTGTTTAGTATGAACTAGCCTTATACATATGCAATGATTTCAATTATTAATTACTTCATTATTTTTTTTTCAATATTGTTACATAGAGGCATTTTGACAGAAAAATAAATATATATTTATTATTTGGGGTCCAAATAACCTTAGTTGGGCCGGTAAATTTTTGGCCCAAAAGTCCACAAAAGGATCTTTCCTTGCCTAAAGTCCAATTCCGTGCCTAAGTTCAAAGGGCAGTCCACTTGCCACTTGGTCCAAAACCTAGAATAAAAAAAAAAGCCTAGAATAAAAAAAATACTTGTAGCAAATAGGGCATCAAGTATTGAATCCAAAACCTCCCATTTGAAATGTAAGAACATGAGTCACACTTAACATATACAAGTTCATATAATACGAAGTATTATTTCAAAAATACAAAACATTAAACATCTCAAGGATTAGGGCATTTGATCTTATCATCAAAATAGAAGAGTCCCTTATTAGGATCATGCCCAACATTAACATCAAGAAGTTGATTACTTCCAAGCATGGATACGGTGTCGTTCTGTCCATTAAGTATTATTAAACATTGCAAGGTGGAGCTGGGTATCTTATACCACATATTACTCTCCTTAATCTCTAACAAATAATTCTCGAACTCAAATCCTATAACAGGCGGTCTCCCATCTACAAACTTTCCACTGTCATAACAAATCTCAAAATGTTCGGTACCATTGATCGTGTATTGGACCGGAGGACCAAACAATTGCACCATCTTTTTCATCATAGCGTCGTAAGCCTCTGACGTTAACCAAGTTGAGGGGGTGCCTGAGTCTACGATGAAGCCTCTTGTCCCGTATTCCGACATCTGGAATACTGATGCTGCCACATCTATCTCCTCATTATTCACTGTGACGCCAAGGAGTTCAATGAAGTAAAAATCAGAGTTGATGTTTCTTAACATTTTTACGGGTTGGCCTTGGATCCTTGCTTCAGGACCAAATAAGACGACATTGATTTGACTTAGGTCACTTGATATGCAGTATGAAAACTTAGGGTCATCTGCGTATAGTTGTCTTGGAAGCGAGTCCTCATTGTTGTCTCCACCTAAATTTTACACATTACGATAATTCAGAAAAATTAGTTGACACATTTTTTATGTATTATTATACTCGTATCTTGTTTGTCAATCTATAAATTCAATTGTAGTAGTGTCAAAAGTCAAAATATGTCAATTAATATGGAACGGAAGATAAAAAAAAAACCACACATACATAAAATAATATGGAATAGACGAAAAATAAAAGTCACACATGTTAATTTATTACTTTTTTCTTATTTGTGGTAAAATTTTGACGATTAATTTGTATGTCTACCTAGTCTAATATCTCTCTTAAATGCGTGTCAAAGTGGTGTATTGCAAGTAAATGAACAGAGGAAATATGTATTATTGTGAATCTAAAAAGATTTCACTTGACAGTTTTTTTTTTTTTTTTTTTTTTTTGTTTTTTTTTTAAATAGAAACATACTCCCTCTATATTTGTTTAGTGTTTCACTTTAACCGGCACATAGTTTTAGACAATTTAATCAACTTAAATAAAATAACAGGTACATGGGGTAGTTGGAGTAATAAACAATTGTAAAAAAAAATATATACTGGAGTTAATAGTTTATTGAAAAGTAATGAACATTAAAGAAAAGAATAATAATAATAATAATAATAATAATAATAATAATAATAATAATAATAATAATAAATTAATAGTGAATTTGGGTGAGAATCACGAAAGGAGAGAGAGAGATATAATATTAAAATATAGTATGTTGCCAAAAAAGAAAGTGTAATATTTAAAAATACACGGACGTATTTCGTATGTGTAACACTTAAAAAATCAGACAAGGGATATATATAAGGCAAAGTTTGGTCAAATAAGACGATTAAATTAGATTGATATGATCAGAATGAATAAATCCAAGTTAGATCAAATAAGAAAAATAAATTCAGACCCGTTGATAAAAAATCAAATTAGATAAGCAAAAATAAGATAAACTAAACATGGCCTAATAATTGACATGGGGATAAAAACCAGAGACCTACGACAAACATGACATTTGTAATTCCCTTATGATTCATTTACATACAAGTAATAATAATTAAGAATTAGAGAGCACGTACCTATAATCCCCGGCAATTTGGCGGTGTCAAGATAACTACATCCAAACCTGAATTGTACCAATGTCTTAACATAACCGATTCTAAATGTGGTGTAATCCATAGACAGATATCCGGTAGTCCAATCTCCATCTTCATACGTAATATCAAATTTACACCCTTCCGTATCATCATCACAACCTTTAATATACGGATACCCTTTTTCAATGTCGCACTTTTGCTGGTCAGTACAACTTATAATGCGATAGCTAGCTGACTGTGTTTGGTTAAAGTAATCGTATCCCGCTAATCTTTTGGCTGATTGCATTTGAACCATGACAAACTACTTCCTGTGTCGAATAAACCATACACTATTTGTAGTGGATTACCTATATACATTTTTGTTACATGTTCACCTACTTCTCGTTTATATTCTACCTCACTCACTTCGTTTGGGGACGCTGATGATAATTTTGAAAGAACCATGTTATGTAATGGTTTCGATCTAAGGTTATATTTGCTGTAGTTGATGGGATGGTGATGTTGTTGGCTTCGAGTACTCGAGTGTAGAGTGGTGATTCGGGAGATAAGGGTGGGATTAATGGTGCAATTAAGCCTTTAGTAACAGGAGAAAAGGCAGCTAAATATATGATTGATAATGTGGTGAAAGATAGAATGTTGGAAAGCATTTTGATGCAATGGAAAATAGCTAAAATTAAAATTATTGATGAATGAAAATTGAAAGTGCGTATTGTGAAAACTTAGCTTCAATTGAAACATATATATACACTGTACTAGTTAGTGATCGCTTTACAGAAATAAAATGGATAGATTCAATTCATTAAAAATTTTGCTTAAAAATGTATCCAAACATAAAATGTATCTGTGTTTGATTTCCATAATTGAATACACTATGGCATTATGTTATTATCACAAGGAAATATGGGATTATTGGAATCGGAAAAGAGGAAAGGAATCAAGAATACTTATTTTAGAAGATCATTAAGCTTTTGTGATCAAAGCAAAGGAAACATATAAACTTTTAAATAGACATGGTTTACATTAATTTATAGTGGACCACTAATTATATTAGAGACATTAGACCATCTCCATTGGTAAGACTCAACTTTGAGTATCGAAATACAAAATGAGTTGTTTTTTTTTTTTTTACCTCCAATGGTGATACCCAACCCACTTCTCAATTTAGCAACTCATGCAAAGTCTAATTTCCCATTGGTGAGACTCTTTAAAGTGTATTAATGTCACTTTTAATTTATGGCCCACCAAATCCATATTATAAGTTTTTTCTAAAAAAAAAACATAAAATTAAAACTTAAATGAATTACAAAATATATTATAATATTGATAAGGGGCCCACACTTTTTGTCAAATGAGACTCCAAGTTGGGTATTTAAACTTAACAACTTTCCTTTGGAGTTGCTAAGTTTAGATACCAACTTATTGGTATCCTTTGCAAAAAATACTCTTCCTCTCCTAAAAAAACTCCCTCTAGTCTCACCTTTGGAGATGGTCAGCCATTTTATCAATAAAAAAAAAAAATCACTATATCAACGTAAAGGTTATTATGTTAAAATAAAAGTCATTGTGTTGTTATAAAGGTCAAAAGAGATATTTTTTTAAAAAATGAAAGTTTATTATACTAGCCAATATGAATAATGAAGGTCAATATGTTAAAATTAGGGTCACTGTATTCAACATAACGTAACATCGGCTGACACGCTATAAAAAGCATTTTTTGTCGTAGTGAGTTTAACCATAAATATCTTTAATTAAAAATTAATAAAAAGTATAAAAAAAATTATATTATGAAAGTAGACATTGCAACAAATATAACAATATATACATAATCATGTTAATAGATTTTATAGTAATAAAAAAATTAAGTCAAAAATAACATATGAATAGTGCAAAATCTCAAGTGATGCATTTGAAAAAAATGGAAGGAGTATAACATTTTAAAAGATGGAAGTTATTTACATCCAAGTAGGTATATACAGTACATCTAAAAGCCCTAACAATCTCTTCTTTCCTCTCTCCTAAATTCGAGCCTCCATTGTTGATTTAAAAAGGAGTTTATTTCCATCGGTTTTAATCGATGGAAAGACCCAATCATTGTTTCTTTAAAAGTTTTTTAAATTTATAATAATGCTTTCTCCTTCTAAAGAAAGAGTTTCTGATCTTTTTCGAAAGACAAGGGTTTTTTCGACTTCCATCAAAAGAAAGAGAGAGAAATTTCTTAATTTTAAATTTGTAATAGTAAATATAGTGGATTGTCATATGATTATTTCAAAGGATCATTACATTGTGTCTCCAACAAGGCATTATTTTTTAACGATATAAGCGAGAGGTATTTCAAAATGCAAGCTAATACCTACTTTGCGATTGTTGTTTTTATGAAAGGAAATTTTTAATTGATTAATACCTTATATATTTGTTAAAGTCGAATATTCTTTGTAAATAAATGTCATATGACTTTATATTCATAAATTATTTTTACTATTAAAAAAAAATCCTTAAGTAGGACAATAAAAAACTTTATCAATCAACGTGACAACCAATCATCGTCAATTAAGTACTTAGGTTCGTTGGCATCAAGTACATGTAATCATAAAATTAAATAAAAAAAGGGGCATCAAGTAAATAAAAGCACAAAATTAAAAATACTCGTAGCAAACAGGGCATCAAGTATTGAATCCAAAACCTCCCATATGAAATGTAATAAGAAATATATTTCAAATATAAACAAAAAATCTCAAGGATTAGGGCAGTTGATCTTATCAAAATACAAGGCTCCCTTATTAGGATCATACCCAACATTAACATCAAGAAGTTGATAAATTCCAATAATGGATATGGTGTCGTCCTTTCCGTTAATTATTAGCAAACATTGCAAGGTTGAACTTGGAACCTTAAACCACATATTACTCTCCGCAATCTCTAGCAAATAATTCTCGAACTTAAATCCCATTTACTATTAAACAAACCAAAGTACTATTAAACAAACCAAAGTATTGTAGTTGCCCATTGTTCTCAATAATTTACCCTCCTCTATCTCATAAATTAAACCATTCTGGAATTAAAGTCCAATTATAGGTTTCCCTTAAAAAAAAAATAACCTACTAATGTCATAACAAATTTCAAATTGTTTGAACTTGGTTGGAGGACCATGTAATAAGTATGTAACTGTGTGCACCATCTTATTCTTCATGGCTACGTAAGCTTCCGAGGTTAAGTTATGGTGCTGCCTGAGTCTATGATAAAGCCTTGTGTTCCGTATTCAGACATCTTGAATACATCTTCCGCCATATCTAAGCATTCGAAATCCATCGTGATGCCACGCACGTCAAGGTAATAAAATTCAGTGTGGGGGTTTTTGGTCATGTTGTAGGCTTGGCCTATAAGGTTTGCATCAGGACCAAATTCGACGAAGTTGATTTGAGTTTGGTCCCTTGATATACAGTATGAAAACCTGGGATCATCTGTGTAGAGTTGGTTTGGGAGAGAGTACACATTGTTGCCTCCACCTAAATTGAACACATTATGATACATAAGAATTCATACGTATTAGTTTTATGTCTAGTTCAACAAAAGAATTTTTTTTTTTTTTTTTTTTTTTTTTTTTTTTGGCCGGATGAATATAATGAATCTGAATTCACTCCCGCCGTATTTAAATAAGAAAAATGTTTTGACTTTTTGCACTATTCATCTAATTCACTTTGACTAATGTTTGTGATTTATACAAAAAGATAAGTATAGTCTTGTTGCTACTTGTTGGAATCCTGTCAATGAATAGTTTATTAACATTCTATTATTATAATTTTTATTTATTGATAATTAAAGATATTATCGGTTAAAGTTTTGCATTGACATATGTGTACAAGATAAACATTTCACTAATTTTAGGTTTGGATGTAGTTTAGACAACAACCTTTAAGGAATGGAGTAACAAACGAATTTATGAAGAGGAAATTGATTGAAGTGGACCAAAATAAATAAAAATTAATTCGCGTATTAATTATCTTTAATTAATTAAAATGAATTTTAAAAACCTGCTTTTGTTGATGACCCGTTGTGAGTCCAGTTCACATGATGCTCTCACTCATTTAATAAAGAATGATTTATAAGACTCAGAATTGCAACCTCAAGGCTACAATACAAAATGATAATATAAAATTTTAAATGAAATTTTTTTCTTGTTATTCTTCATATCACACTGACCCAAATATTCATTAATTTTGTCACAAAACCAATTTAAAATCAAAATATATAGGAACTTTCTTTTTGGACAAATGGAATAATACATAATACAATAAGGTGAAAATTGAGGGTTTATATATAATAAATCAAAGATTCGAATAAATCATGAGCACGTACCTATGATCCCCATCCCTTTGAGGTTGTTTTCTAAACTACGTCCAAACCTAAAATTAATCAAATACTTTTCTTGTCTAATTTTAAACACGGTGTTTTTGATACCCATCACCCCTTTAGCTTGACCTCCATCTTCATACCTAACGCTAAATGTACAAGGAATTCTTCCTCTTCCTTCGCAATCTTCGCAACCTTTGATAATCTTGCTGGTTATGCACTTCTGCTCGTCATCACACCATATCATGTTATAGCTTTGTGACTTTGTTCGATTAAACCACGGGTATTTAGATGCATCATGCCTCTCGCATTGGAACCATGTCAAACCACTCCTTGTGTCGAATGTAACATACGCCAATTGCTCTGGGTCTGGGGTGCCCATGTACATGTACGTTACATAATGGCCTTCTGTGTTTTTAAACTCGACTTCACCCGCTTCGTTTGGGGATACCGAAAGAAGCCATGTCATGTAGTGGTTTTCATTATTTAAGGTGATATTTGTTTTAGGTGATAAGATGTTGTTGGCTTCGAGTACGTGAGTGTAGAATGGTGATCGCGGAGATAATGGTGGGATTAATGGCATAGTTAAGCCTTTAGTAAGAAGAGAAAAAGAAGCTAAACAGAGGATTGATAAGATGGTTAAAGATTATAAAATGTAGGGTGGTTTCAAAAAAAGAAAAAAAAAACCATAGAGTGTAGGGAAGCATTTTGATGGGAACATTGCTAGAATTATTATTATATATATATATAGATATTTAATGTTTTAATTTAACGATAGTTGTATAATGGATGGATACAAGTCATTTTAAATGGTTCAGATAAAAACTTTAAAACTACAATTGTGTATGTTACATATAAAATTTTTAAGGTGCCTACTCAATTTTGTCCAAGTACAGAATTCTTTACAATAAATTCTATGTGAGTGAATTATTGTGCATCTTTATAGAATCAAATAATGCGAGTAAAATCAAATGGTGATTTAAATACGAGATTGAATTATTATCGAAATCCCTTCACTAAAAACCCATACCACCCAATCTTCCATTACTACAATACTCACACAATGTTTATCTTTGATTCTATTACTACGTCATCTTAAAGGGTTAATCAAAACTTAGGCCCTGTTGTATTCACCTTATTTTCACTTATTTCAGGAAAAATAAGTTCAGATAAGGTTAATAGTTCTAATAAGTTCAGATCAAATAAGTTCAGGAAAAATAAGTTCAGATGAGGGTTAATCAAGGCTACCTGCAAGTTCAATTATAACTAAAATAAGTTGTAATAAGGACTAATAAGTTCAGATAAATTCAGATAAGATCAGATAAGTTCAGATAAGTAAAAATCAGAAGAATAGAACGCACCATTAGCTTGAACATTATTACCCAAGTTTCAACAATCACAATTTGTATTCAAGTAACTCAAAATTAAATCAAAACATTACATTAGATAATAATATATTGGTACATAATTTATTTAATATTATTGTATAATTAAAAAATTCAATCACCACATAAACAAGTTAACGAATTAGATTTAAGAATTTAAACTTAGATCAATTGAAACAATGAATAGTGATTTAATGTTAAAATTAATTTTATCTAATATCCGATGAATGGAAAGAGGATAATTTTATTTAATATCTTACCTACTAAAAATTGTTTTTTCTAATTGAAATTTATTGAAAAATTAAAGGCTTGTTTGGCATTGTTTTTTGTTTTTATTTTCCTTTTTGTTTTTCTTTTTAAAACTAAAAAATCAAAAACAGGAAACAAGAAAAAGGTGTTTCCATATTTTCTGTTGTTAGTTTTTCAAAATTATCATAATTTGAATAAATTTGACTAACTTTTTATTTATTATATGACATATATCATATGATTTTGAAAAAAAAAACAAAAAAAGCAAACCACAGCGATACTAAACGAAATTGTTAAGCTCTTATTTATTTATTTTTTAAGAGATGTCAAGGAATCATACAAAATAATCTTTAAAAAATCGTGCATCGCACTGATTTCATCTCGTAATAGTAATATTTTTGAAAGTTAATTTTAGATTTTATGTAAAGCGAATGTAATAATTTAGATATAATCCTTTTTTAGAGCAAGTTATTTATTTATTTTTTTTATTTTATTTTTTTGCAAATACTTTAAGGGGAATTTTTTTAATGTAACATGGTTAAGTGTCCTTTTTTATTTCGCCTTTAATAACATGTACTCCGTAAATCCATAATAGATTGATGAGTAGAGAATTAAGGTGAGAGGGACAAAGATAAAGAAATGAGTGGTAGGAGTAAAACCACAGGAAAAAATCAAATCAAAAAAGAGATGACAAAGCAAAATATGAAGGCTTTTTCTTCTTTCTCTTGTAATCACATTAAAAGGGAAGGGAATTGTGGTGCCCATATGGCTGCTAGGATAAACCCTGTTAATGATGTTGAATAGGTTTTTGTATCTTCGTTTTCGCAAGGCTTAATTGCCTTGGCGGAGATTGACTTTGGTTAATTTTTATGCTAATCCTGCTCGCTGAGCATCGTTTCAAAAAAAAAAAAAACAAACAAAAAAGGCTTCTTTTTTTTTTTTTTTTTTTTTTAAATCGAGCAAAATAAGAATTTAAGAAAAGGGTAAAATAATAAATAAACTTTTTAAGGGGTAAAATAGTTAGAACACTATAAGATTCCATCAGACATACAGACGTATAGGGTTTTATACTTTTATTCATTCACTTGTTAAATTGAAATAATCGACCTCCATTCTCCATGCATCACTTGATCACTGTATTGCTCAGGTATTTTTTTTTCGGTTTTTATTTTCTAAATATTGATTTCATATGTTCTTGTATGATTGATATATTTAATTTCTTCAAGCATCACTGTATTAGTCTGATTTTACTTTCTTTCTTTTTTCTGTTTTTTGTCAATAATCTAATCAGCTTTGTCGATAAAATTGTGATTTGTTCTGTTGATTTCGTAATTTTAATGTGCTAACTGTATAAGAAAATCCTAATTCAAATTAGATTGGGAATTAGTTATAACTCTGAGCAAATATGAGTTTGTTCTAGGGAAAATGTTGAAAGCCAATTAACTAAATGCCCTAAATGTAGTGAATTTTTAATTTGTTTCATTTAATGTAGTGAATTTTTAATTTGTTTCATTTATATTGCTTATTAGTTGAGTTTTATTTGTTGATAAGTAGTTGGTGTTGATTATTTATTTTTATTTTTTCTTTAGAATTTATTGATTAGTATGATAATGAACTTTTTTTTAATTTTTTTGTTGTTGGAGTTAGTAATGCAACCGGAAAGGTTTTATCTCAAACTTAATCGGGTTAGTTTGTCCGACCGATTAGGCGAGAATAACTCCTTAATTGAAAACTCATTGTTGTACAACTATCCGCTACATGGTCGTGTACCTTGTACTACATGATCGTGTGATATAAATGGTCGTGTACCTTATTCTACACGGTTGTGTGGTTTTGCATACGAACTCATCTATAGGGTCATGTACCTTTTTCTACATGACCGTGTGCGTCAGGTATTTTTTGAAGTGGCTATCAGTTGGGCCTAGTTGGGAGCAACGTAAACTAGTACGTGGTTTGGATTTATTTTGTTTCCTTGTATTGGAACATTATAAATACAAACGAGAGTCTCTTCAATGATACGAATTTTTGAAAAACCCTAAACACTTAAACACTAACCTACCCTTTGAAATCTGAACAGTTATTGAGTAGTTCCACTCTTCGGGTTCGGGTACACGAATTACGAGGAGAGTTGTGTTAACATTAGGGGCGTGCGTCATTAGAAAACCTGTACCGATAGTGGCGTATTTCGCTTCAAACGCAGTAGATTCCGTTTTGCGACATAATTGTATTATTGAGACAATTATTTTACCAACATTTGTAACAATTTGTTATTAGTACCAAGTAAAAGTTGTTTTAGATTTGTCCAAAATCATTTTAGAATTGTCAAGATTCTAATCGATTGATATTAATGTAAACATTTCAGATGGGAAAACGAAGGATGAGAAATGGAAAGGGGAAAGTTAAGGAAGATGTCAAGCGCGAAGGTGGACATAAAATATTCCTACTGTTTTGGTTAGAAAACAATGGACCTTCAGCAGGTCCTTCGGATGAGTGGAGATGAAGCCCAATTCGAGTGATGACCGAATTGAGGATTTCCTGCACAGCTGAACAAACGTAAACTGACCTCGGGGGTTGTGTCGAGGAAGGCCCCTCCGATGCCGAAGTCAGTACGAGTGTAAGGTAATGAGAGAAAAGCTATGCAAGATAGTTTGTTGCTTGAGGCAATTTGTGTGAATGAATGTAAGTGAAGAAAAATGAGAGCTTTTATACCTTACTCCAATTGAGTGGAGTGGGCTTGAGGAATCAGTTGGGCTGCCACTTGATTGGGCCCTGCTGACCTTGACTTGGCATGTATGTTAGAGGGTTGGACCTTACCTATTGGGATTTGTTTATTTTCATATGTGGACCGGGCCCAAATACAAGTTATTTGGACCCCAAACAACTTGCCCCCTAGACCCGATTCGTGAGGATAACGGGTCGGGTTTTCAGCTGCCGAGAGATTTGGAAGGAAATATATGAAAATAATTTGAAATTTGTTTGAGGAATTTGTACGGTTTTTAACTGTTAATTAACACTTAACTAACCTTAATGACAGTTAATTAAGGATAATGGGGAAGTGGAAAGAATTTAATGGGAAGTTAATTTTCGCGGTTGCAATTAAGTGGAAAGAATTCAAGTAGTCACGAATTGAAGTAGTGCTTAGTGGGTGATTAGTGCCTCTTTAATATCCGGAAACTGAATCCCCGAACATACATAAGAGCACTCCCACTTCTTTCAATCTTCACTTTCACAAAATCGAACCCAGAATTCTCCAGACACGCGCATTATCCCAATTTCCTTTTCGCTGTATTCTTGCAATCCGAAGCTTTAAACTCCAATCCGGTTCTTTGAACTAGTAGATCGGCGAATTCCGAGTCCGAAGAAGGTAATTTTCTAGCGATTTGCTTCGGTTTTCTTTGTTTTTTGAAATACCTTTCCTTTTCCCTTTTCTCGTACATTTCGAACTTCCGTCCCACTGAAAAATGGCCGGCGACCGCGGAAAAGAACCCATCAGGCCTGAGTCGAGTGCCGAGGAGGAAGAGGAGGAAATGCCGCAGCTAATTGTGAGGCGGAATCGCCCTTTGGCAATATGCCCCCTCTTAGCGGCCAAAACCCTAATGTCGGGGGTTGCGCAGGCTGCCACTTCGAGTGGGGCTGGCTTGAAGGTAGTGCCCTTGTCCAGCCGTCCACCTAGGGACTCAGCTGAGGCCGGTACCTCTGGCCGGAGCGCGGCTTCGGCATCCAGGCCGCTGACTCCCGAAGAGCGAGAGTGGACCTCGGTCCAGGATAACGAAGGCATCATGACGGCTGCGCCCTACTCTTGGTGGATCGAGAATGACGCCCAGTATCACTTCGCCGAACAACTTGAGATATATTACGGCATCATGGAAGAGGACGGATACTGGTGCAGAATGCCTGTTTCCGATGACAGGATTCATCGGCCCCCACCTGGGTACATCGGGGTCTACACCCGGCAATTGCAAAACGGGCTTCGATTTCCTGTCCACTCTTTCATCATCAAGTTGCTAAACGGATACAACATATCCTTGTCTCAGCTGACCCCTTTGAATGTCAGAAGGATTATAACTTATCTTTGGGTCTGTTTATTTTGTGGATTTGAACTGAGCGTTCATTGTTTTCGGTGCATTCACAAGCTTGCGCCGAACCACCAATCTAGCCGATTTCATGGCATAGGGTGGTGGCAGATAGAAGACGAGAAGGGATTTCTCACATCTTATCCGAACGACACTTCGGATAAAAACTGGAGAGGGCAGTGGATCTGGATCCGAGTTCCCTCTGATGAGGCTCATCCGAATAATTTTGGAGCTCCCCGCTTCCTGAGAAAACCAAACCCCGGAATGTCAAGCATCGGCCCCGATGAGTTTAATGAACTTGATCATTGCCAAATGGAGTTATTTGGCCGAAATAAAATGACAGTTACTGGCCGAATGGCCAATGTGCCAAGCACTTGGCTGCCCTGCTTTCATTACATCTTCCAGGAGAAGATGCTTGCTGTCGTCGGCCTCAGCCGAAGTTACCAAGGTGGTGAGGGGAATTCGGCTAGGGCCGAAGTCTTTTAATGCTTTCATCCCTTTTGTTGCGTGCTGATTTGCGAACTTTACTTTTTTCAGCTGAACTCATCTTCGTTTTCTTTTGACTTTTCAGAGTTGTACGAAGCGAACTCGGGCATTGATTACGAAGTACTCGGGATCAGTGAGGGGAGGGAACCACTCACTAACAAGTCGAAGATAACAGAGGTTAAAGATCGACCACTTGCCCTCCAGCCGAGGAAACTTGAAATTGTCAGCGCCTTAGAGTACCAAAGTTAGAAGGCCTGACATCAAAAGATTGACCCTTTCTTCCTCCATTTGGCTGAAGAAGTTGCTGCTGAAGCTGTCTCAGCTCCACAGACCAAAGCAGGGCCATCTTCCTCAACTGCTAAGCCAGTAAGAGAGGAAACTCATAGGGGAGAAGCCGACAACGACGAGTACTTGCTAGATACTTCGGTGAGTTTTCTGGTGCTCTTTCAATTTGCAACAAATTGCTTTAAGTACAGATCTTCAGCTAAGTTACTTCATAAGATGTTCTGAAATTTTTCTGAGTGTGTAGCTTCAGCCTCCTCGCCATGTCGCCGAGCCATTTTTCGAGGAGGTTCGGCACGAGGCAGATGCGCTGGGTGTCCAGGTTGAAGATCCTGGGCTTGCTGTTAATAAGAATGAGCCTCAGCTAGCTGAATCTGAAGCGCTCAAGCCTAGTGACATCCTCTCTAGCTCAACTGCGGGCTCTTTTAGAACCTTTCAATCCGCTGAGATGGGTTTTGGCTTGGCGCCCATGGATCCTGTTCCTGCACACGCCCGAGCAGTTTTTGAGGACAGGCACGACTCGGCTCTCTCCTATTTTGGTAATCTGAGTAACCTCTCAACTTTAGAGAGGGCTCGGGCCTGGACATTGGGCGCTGCTACCGGGGCAGCTGAATCTTTGGAGAAGGTGCCAAATCCTTTTCTGGAAAATCAAAGAGTGCTGATGCAGGTACCTCCCAGCACTTACCACTTACTTCTCTCTCCTTCCCCCCCTTTTTTTTATATATATCGTTCTAAGTGTTGGGCTTCGGCTAACCCTTTACATTCATCTGCAGGTTGTGCACAACCATTTCCTCTCTATGGAAATGTTCGATGAGCTATAGGAGAAGGCAGGGAAAGCTGAAGCATCTGAGGCCCGAGCTCGTCTTGCCGAATTGAAGCAGCTTAAAGCTGAAGAGGATAGCTCGGCTATGAAGCTGGAAATGCAGAGGATGGATGAGAACTTTCGCTCCTTCTGCCGAGGCCTGGAGCAGACTGTCTTTCCCTGGATTGAAGAGGGTCAGTCGCTGCTGAAAGAGTACAGAGCCGATACCATTGCTAAGTTTAAGGCCCGTATCGAGACAAAACTGAAGGAATATGATGAGTCCTGGCGGCTTCTGATTTCTGACCATGAGAGCCAACTTGCTCGGGTTCGGGAGGAGGTCGAGAAGAAGCAAAGTGACTTGGCCGCAGCCAATCAGAAGCTGAAGGAAGCTTTGGAAGCTCAGAAGTCTGAGCTCGACGAGGCGAAGGAGCTTCTCAAGACCCGCATCTACACAGAGGAAGAATATGCTGAAGGGTTAGAGAATGGCTGGAAATCGGCTTGTCGCCTAGCCCTGCATGCAGATCCTGATATCAACTGGGATCAGGTCGAAGCCTGGTCAATGGATCCTAACAACCCTCGTATCAATGAGGCTAGTCAGGCTGAAATTGACTTCCTGGTTCGGCAAGCTGAGAATGAGGAGAAAGATAGAGAAGCTGCGCAAGAGCTGAATGTCGTCCATCCTGCTTCCTCTTCAGCCGATGCTGATGCTTTGGCTGCCCCGAATGACGTTCCCAAGAATGCTGAAGCATAGGAATTCGGGCAGTCGTCTACTGAGTCTTGCGGATCGACATGTGCTTTATTTGTAAATGTCGCATCAGCTTTTGCCTATTCTCTTTTGTTTCAGCCTGCCTATGTACAAACTTTATAATTTGTTTTTGTGTACTTTCGTCAGCTGTGTTTTCCGCTTTGTGGCCGACTTTGAATTTTTTGTTTTAACATTCTGAACCTGGTATTTGTAGTTCCAACTCAACATTTGTAGCTCTGGTTTCTCTGAATGGATGAAGTAGAATTTCAGCTCTTTCCTCTCAATTTTCCTGTTTGAATAGCCTTGAACTTAATTGCCTTTTCTTGAATTTCTTCAAAATTTAGCTAGGTGCAGAGCTTTGGCTTGGAAATATTTAGTTGAGAATTTTTCTTATTTCTCTATGCCTTGCCCATTTTACTCTGATTTGGCTTGGAATTTCCCAAATACTGGGCTTTAGCTTAGAGCTTGGTATTTAAGTACCTCTTGCCCCCCCAGAACTTTGAAGACAAGGTCTTCGGAGTTCTGAGTTTATTGTTTATGTCTTTCGGTGTGGCCGAAGGTTTGTTGCCATATAACAGGTTGAACACTTATGCTTATTTCTTATATTCTGCTTAGTTTTAATTCATCCGAGGGAACGACTATCTTGGACACAGTGCCAGGGCAATGATCATCTGAAGTACAAGGCATCATTATGCAATACTTCGGAGGTGTAATCATCACCCGGAATTGATCTGCCGAAGATAGAGCATCATTATGCAATGCTTCGGGCCTTTTATCAATTCCTATTTTTGGCTATGTCTTAGATAAGCCTATGACCACTTTGCCGAGAGCAACAAATCCGTCAGAGGTACAATGCATCATTATGCAATACCTCGAGGTTCTATTTGTTGCCCCCATGTTGGCAGGTTCTTCGGCTTGCCGAAGTACAGTGCATCACTATGCAATACCTCGGACAACATCGGGTGTAAACCTTGAATTTTTCCAAAAAACGCCGAAAACAGAATTAATGAAGACGTAATGAAATTGTTACTAATTGCGGCTCAAAGGCCTTTCATTAATTTGAAGAAAACGTATTTACATAGATTTTTCTCCCGCATTGGGGTTTTACACATGAAATTTTCTAAGTACATCTGCATTCCAGTGGTTTTTCAACTTAGTTCCATCTAACTGCCGAAGCCGATAAGTTCCCGGTTGGAGCTCATCGTATATTTCATAAGGCCCTTCCCAGTTAGCCGAGAGTTTTCCATGGATGCGGTTTTTCTGGACAGCGGCAGCATTCCGAAGAACGAGGTCCCCGATTTTAAGGAGCCTTGCCTGGACTCTTCAGTTGTAGAACTTGCTGATTCTTTGTTTGTATGTCTCCATTCTGTCTCTCGCCGAATCTCGGATCTCGTCTAAGTAGTCAAGAGACTCTTTCATGAGATGCTCATTTTCTTCGGCTGAGAACTGATTGACTCAAAGACTTTCTGAGCCAATTTCCACTGGTAAAACAGCTTCGGACCCATACACCAATTCAAAAGGTGAATGTCTCGTAGCCTCTTTTTCAGTTGTCCGAAGTGACCATAGGGTTCCAGGAAGTTCCTCTATCCACTTGGACTTTTGATCTTCGACCCTCTTCTTGAGGGCGTTGTGGATTTGTAAATTCGCGGCTTCAGCTTGGCCGTTGCTTTGAGGATGGCAAACCGCCGAATATGCCAGCTTAATGCCGAACTAATCTGTGTACTGCCTCAGCGGCAGATTATCGAATTGCCTCCCATGATCGAAGATAAACACTTTTGGAATGCTGAAGCGAGTAATGATATTCTCCCAGATAAATTTCCTGACAGTCTGCTCAGTTATGTTTGAGGCTGCTTCGGCTTTCATCCATTTGCTGAAGTAGTCAATTCCGACTATCAGCCACTTTTTCTGATAAGGAGCTTCAGGAAACGGTCCCAAAATATCCAATCCCCATTGAGCAAAAGGGAGCGGATTCATAATCGGCTGAAGGTCCCTCGACGGCCGGTGAATAACTGGTGCAAATTTTTGACATTTTTCACATTTCTGCACCAGGTCTTTGGCATCTTGGATCATAGTCGTCCAGTAATACCCTGCCCACAGTGCTTTATGGGCCAGGGTCCTTCCCCCTATGTAGTTTCCGTAGATGCCGAAGTGGATTTCCCAAAGGACGTAATCTGCATCTGTTGGGCCCACACATTTCAGCAGCAGGGCTGAGAAGGACTTTTTCAGCGATTCCCTCTTGTAGACGATGAACCTTGAGCCGACCCTTTTCATTTTTGCGGCTAGGTTCTTGTCCTCAGGGAGTGTTCCTTGAAGCTTATAAGCCAGGATGGAATCCATCCAGCTCGGTTCAGCTTCGACGCATTGGACCTCAATTTCTTGGTCAATGCTTCTGATTCGGCGCACTTCCACATATACTGATCGGTTCAGCTCGGTGAGAGTTGAACTTACAAGTTTGGATAGTGCGCCGGTTTGAGCATTCTGACCCCTTGGGATCAGCTCAATTTCAAAAGTTCTCAACTTCACTATGACTGACTTGATCTTGGCGAGATAAGAGATCATGGAGGGCTCTTTGGCCTCATATTCGCCCCGAATCTGATTAGCGACCAGCTGAGAGTCTGTTTTCAAACAGACATGCTCGGCTTCGAGAGCTATGCACAGTTCTAAACCAGCAACTGCTGCTTCATATTCTGCTTCGTTGTTAGAAGCTTTGAACGAAAATTTGAGTGCATACTCGAAGTTCCTGCCTTCGGAAGAGGTAATCACTACCCCTGCTCCCGAACCATTTACAGTGGCTGAGCCACCCGTAAATATGGTCCAAGTCCCCTTCCCTTCGTCGAGTGTTTCCTGATAGGAACATTCGGCCAGGAAACCTGCTAAGGCTTGGGCCTTAATGGCTGCCCTCGGCTGATAGCTTATGCTGAACCCAGTGAGCTCGAAGGCCCACTTTGTTAGTCTGCCTGACTTTTCAACCTTGCCGAGGACTTTTTCCAACGGTTGATCCATTAAGACCACTATTTGATGTGAGTCAAAATAAGGCCTTAACTTCCGAGCTGCTACTACCACTCTATATGCAACTTTTTCGAGCAAGGGGTAGCGCATTTCGGCATCAGTCAAAGTATGACTGACGAAGTAGATCGGTTGCTGAACCTTTTCTTCTTCCCTCAGCAGCACCGCACTCACTGTAGCAGGGCTAACTACCACGTATAAGTACAAGATTTCTCCTTCGGCTGGTCTTGCCAGCGTTGGGAAATTTGCCAGGTGTTCTCGGAGCTGTTGGAAGGCTATTTTTTGCTCTTCTTCCCATATGAGCTCTTTAGATTTTGGCAATTTCAGCGCTTTAAAGAAGGGTAACCCCTTATCCGAGGCCTTTGAGATGAACCTGGAAAGGGCATCCATCCTCCCTGTGAGACGCTGAATGTATCTTTTTGTCTTCGACCCGGGAAGATCAAGAGCTGCTTGAAATTTGGCAGGATTGGCATCAATCCCCCTCTTGCTGACCATGAAGCCTAGGAATTTTCCTGACCTCACGCCGAAGACACATTTCTTCGGATTCAGCTTCATTTGGTGCTTTCTCAGACTGGCGAACGTTTTGGCTAGGTCCACGACATGGTCTTTCGCCTCTTTGCTCTTGACGATGGAATCGTCAACATAGACTTCCATGTTGCGGCCCTTCTGCTCAGCGAACACTTGGTCCACCAGCCTCTGATATGTCGCTCCAGCATTTTTCAGGCCGAAGGACATCATTTTATAATTGTAAACCCCGACACTTGTAACGAATGCCATTTTTTCTCAGTCATCGGGGTGCATGAAGATCTAATGGTACCCAGAAAATGCGTCCATGAAGCTGAGCAGAGCATGGCCACTTGTCGAATCGACTAATTGATCGATTTTTGGCAAGGGATAGAAGTCCTTCGGACATGCCCTATTTAGGTCTGTGAAGTCAACGCACATTCTCCTAGTGCCATTAGCTTTCTAAACAATCACCATATTCGCCAGCCATTCAGGATATTGGCAAGGCTCGATGAACCCTGCGTCCAGAAGTTTTTTGACTTCGGCTGCGATGTCTTGGTTCTTTTGAGCAGAGTAATTCCGCTTCTTTTGCTTAACTGGCTGACACGTGGGGTCGACATTAAGCTTGTGAGAGATAAAGTACGGATCAATTCCCGGCATGTCAGCTGCTGAGAAGGCGAACACATCTCGGTTGTCCCAAAGGAGTTGGATTAATTCAACTCGGAGGCTCGGATCCAGTCCTTGTCCGATGTTGACACATTTTTCAGTGTCCCTTTCGGTCAACGGTATTAACTCAGTTTGTTCATCTGACTCCATTGCTTTGAAGCCAGGCTCTTTTGGTTCGAGTCTACTGTCAATATCAGCAGACTTCCCTTTCTTCGGATGATCTTCGTTTGAGTCTTTCGGTCCAGCTGAAAAGCTTTCCTTTCCAGTCCCCAAAGATGTTCTTTTTCTCAAGGACCCCTGAGCCGAAGCACTTAGGCCTTCAGCCTTTTGGTACCTCGCTCTTTCTCTTTTTCTTCCTCATCATCCTTGTCACTGCGGCGACTCTTAGATGGTTTGAGGAAATTGCATTCTCGGGCCTCTCTTTGGCTGCCCAAGATTTTTTCGGAGTGTCCCTCGTCTAAAACGTAGATCATTGCTTGATGATACGTCGAGACGACTCCTTGAACATCATGGATGAGGGGTCTCCCCATGATGACGTTGTATACTGATGGGGCATCAATGACCAAGAATTCGGCCATGATGCTTCGTCTTGCTCAGTCTTGGCCGAGGCTGACGGGAAGGAGAATTTTCCCATCTGGATACGAAGAGAAGCCGTTGAATCCAGTGACCGGGTAGGGAACTGGAGTCAAGTGCTTGCTCTCCAACTTCAGTTGGTCGAATGCCTTTCGGAAAAGTATATTCGCCTCGCTGCCACCGTCTACTAGTGTCAGATAGACGTTGTGGTTGGCAATTACTCGTCATGATAACCAATGGGTCATCATGGGGGTACACCACCCCCCTGCAGTCTTCGGATGTGAACATCATGTTCGACACCGAGAGACTGTGGTTTTCGGAACTCAGCATGATGAATCTGATGGGTGAGACCCCTTAGATGGCGCTTCAGTGCATTCCGAGAGATACCTCCGGAAATGGTTAAGATGTCATTATTTCCTCCCTCGGGAGGTTTGTCCCTTTTCCGGTGGTAATCCAGATCTTGTCGAGAGTCTCTCTCAGTTTTCTTTTCTTCGCGGCGTTCCGCGAAATACTTCTTTAAGTACCCTTTCTGGACCAGTTCTTCAATCTGGTCCTTCAGCTGAAGGCAATCTTCAGTGCGATGCCCACGTGATTCATGGAACTCGCACCAATGATCTTTCCCCTTTTTCTGATGCCAGGAAGGAGGTGGCTTCGGTTTCTTGAATCTTCCCTCCTCCCTCGTCGCACTAAAGATCTTAGTACGTGGTAAGGTGAGAGGGGTGTAAGATTCAAATTTTCCCAGATAGGGAGCCTTATCCTTCTTCGGCTCCGCGATCGAGGGAGGTTCTGAGGCTTTTGCCTTCCGATCCCTTTCCTCGACCCTGGAACTTCGGCTGGCTGCCCTTTTGGCTTTGCAAGTCTTGATTGAGATTTCATCTTAGCCTTGTTCCATTCCTCGGCTCGGATGAATTTATCCGAAGCGTCGAGGGCTTCTTCCAAGGTCTGCGGGGGATGCATGACCATGAAATCCAGAAATTTCCCAGCTTGCAAGCCATTATGTAGTGCGAATACGGCTAGGCGCTGATCTAGACTTGTAATTCTGGACGACTCATTGCTGAAGCGAGTAAAGTAATCTCGAAGACTTTCGTCTTTCGCTTGCTGCAGGCCCATGAGCTCTGCAGTAGTTTTCTCTCGGCGGTTAGCCGTGGAAAACTTGCTCTTAAACTTGTTGGAGAGATCACTCCAACCCGTTATAGAGCCTTCCTTCAACCCTTTGGTGATCCACGATTGGGCAACACCTTTAAGGGTCGTAGGGAAGCATTTGCATCAGGTAGCTTCGGATCTTGGGTTAAGGTACATATGCCCCTCGTAAGAGGCTATGTGGTCCTTCGGATTCGAAGTACCATCATAAGTGATGTATGCCGGAATTTTGACTGTCGGCACATGTTCCTACAGTATCCATTTCTGGAAAGGGGAACTGGTAGGAACCATCACAGCTTTTCCCTTCTACCTTTCCGAAGGAACTTCACTCCTCCCTCTTAGAGAGGTGGAAGTGAGGGGTGTCCCTCCGTGCGACAGTTTTGGGCGAGAACCTTCGGGATAGGTGAGACGACTGTGAACGTCCTTCTCCCTTTCCCCTAGGCGCTCGTAAACGATTCGGCGAGAAGCGTTGTGGCTATTTGGATTGTCCTTTGAGTTCCGGATTTGGGAATTTTCAAAGTGACCGGAGTCCCCTCGCCGTTCCCGTCCTGTCTTGCCCAGGCTTTCGGCTCTTCTGCTTCTCTCTCCCTTGGAGAGTGGAATCCGCCCTTCTCCTCCTGAAGTCAGCTTCCTCTTCCGGCTTTCTGATCTCTGTGGAGGTGAAGGGGGAATGGTATGCACGGATGAGAGACGTCCACCCAGGGCTTTCATGAACTCCATGCAGACAGCCACTGCCCTCGCCACCTCTTTAGTGGAAGGAACGGTGGGAGGAGTTGAACGCATGCTTTGCGGAGGGCTCTGCTTATGAGCATTGCTCTCCCTCGGCGAGTTCCCAGCTTGGTGATCCCGTCGGAAGGAAGATCCCGCACGCAGATTTTCTCCTCTCGGAGAGTTAGAAACAGATGGTTCGGGCGACGGTGAAGGTGTCCTATCGGTCCTCACCGTTATTATGCCCATCTTTCTCGCTTTTTTGGAACTTTTGGCACTCTTAGTCATTTTTTGCGTTGGCTAAGATTGGTATGAGAATTTTGGCTGAATTTTTGTAATTTTCCCCACAAACGGCGCCAAATTGTTCCGATCAGAAAACAATGGACCTTCAGCAGGTCCTTCGGATGAGTGGAGATGAAGCCCAATTCGAGTGATGGCCGAATTGAGGATTTCCTGCACAGCTGAACAAACGTAAACTGGCCTCGGGGGTTGTCCCGAGGAAGACCCCTCCGATGCCGAAGTCAGTACGAGTGTAAGGTAATGAGAGAAAAGCTATGCAAGATAGTTTGTTGCTTGAGGCAATTTGTGTAAATGAATGTAAGTGAAGCAAAATGAGAGCTTTTATACCTTGCTCCAATTGAGTGGAGTGGGCTTGAGGAATAAGTTGGGCTACCACCTGATTGGGCCCTGCTGACCTTGACTTGGCATGTATGTTAGAGGGTTGGACCTTACCTATTGGGCTTTGTTTATTTTTATATGTGGACTGGGCCCAAATACAAGTTATTTGGACCCCAAACACCTACAAACAATAAAAAGGGGTTCAGAGAATATAAATAGTGAATTCTACATTGTTGATCTAGATAAAGATGAAGTGGTAAAATGTTCTCGTGTTATAGAAAAGGAGGGAGGTTTGAGTTCTTTGGTAGCTTTGGGAACTCGGATCTATCTCATTGGCGGTATCCATAAAGGTAAAGTCCAAGGTCAAGGTCATGGTGGCACATCGTATCTAGATTTGAACAATAATCAAGTTGAAGGATGGAAGTCAGCTCCTCATCTGAAAGCGTTAATTGGTAGATCTTGTATTCCTGGTTGTGTTGCCTTTAATTGTTTAAATTTGGGGTGTGTTTTTGTCCTAAACTCAACCAGCGGGTTAAGCTCACCGACTCTTCCAATAACCGCTTGATTTTGCACTTGACAATTCTCAATCACCTCTATGCTTACTATCTTGCACAAGCCCGCTGGGAACTGATTGCCGATAACTTTTCATTATTGTTTATTCCCTCATATGATTCATATGTCCTCGGTCCGGATTCTGAGTATAACGTCGTATATGTTGCTTATGATGGTGCCACCAAACGCTGGTTACGTTGAATGTTCTTCTGTCGTCTCCCTTTGATCTCAAATTAAAGTTAGGAAATGTGAATTTGACGCTTTTCTTAACTTCGGCAATGCATGGGTCATGTGCCTGGCTACCTATTCCCCTCCATATATTGAGCCATACTACACCTCTCTTTATACCGCCCTTTTCAAAGTCCACCGTAGTACTTGTCACTCCCATTTCTGTCAAAGATCACATTATTGATGATAACTGTCTATTTGCTAATTATCTAGCTATATGATAAACTGCTCTTTTTAGTCATTAATTGTAGATTATAGATTTCTTGGCTCTGTATGAAGCATAAATCTAAGTAATAGAAAAATAAGGATATTGTAGTCAGATTATATTACTGTATGAATTTTGATATTGCATGGAAGATGTGTGATTTCAATCTTGCCTAATTTCAGATGTTTCATGCATTTTAATGAATTTTATATAAGAATAAAATAAAGGGGAAATTATCAATGACACCCCCCAGGTTCGGGCTTTTCTCAATGATACACTTCATTAAACTTTCATTATCACCGGTACACCTAAACTTTTTCCTAAATACCTACAGTAACCTTAACATTAACTAAACGTTAATTATGGTCGAAACCAACGAAACTCACCTTCCCTGCTAATCCCCTGTTCCACCATTCACACCAATATACCTCCCCGCTCCTCTCAATTACCCACGCATCACCACTTCACGCCCCCACAGCGCCACCACCATTTCAACCACCATCCACCAAACACAACCAGCAGCTCGCCACCTCACCGCATCACCAGCTCCAACTCCCACGCATTCCCACACCCAGACCACCTCCAATCACCACCGCAACAACTACAACAGCAACAACCACGCATCCCCTACATCAACCTCAATTAATTACAGCACCGTCACTACCTAGAGCAGCGCCTCTAGCTTCGCAATTCCCCTTTGCAACCGCTACCACCATCTCCAACCACCGTCAACATCAATTAGAGAGAGAAAGTGAGAAAAAAAGATGGAAGATTTGGATGATTATTCCAGAGAGAAATAAGCACTAACCTCCCCCATTAATCCGAACCCCCCCCCCCAAATTTCGACCTTGCTGACCAACCCCATCCCCCAATTTCAGCATCGCTGACCTCCCCCATCCTCCGATTCAAGCCGCGTCGAACTCCCTGCCCCGATTTCGCATCGAACCCAATGTCAGGTTCGGTTTGGTGGGTTTTCGAATGGTTTTGAGGTTGGCTGGGTTTGGGTTAATGGGGTTTAAGGGTCGGGTTGACTGGTGGTTTCGGTCTGGTGGGATGGTGGTTCTAGGGTTTGGGATTGGGTTTGGGTTTGGGTGGTGGTGGGGATGGTGGTGGCTGAATTGGTGTGGCGGTGGTGGTTTTTCAACGGTGGTGGCTGAAGTGGATTCGAGGTAGGGTCGTGGTTGGGGGGTTGAGTTATAAGTTGGTTGTCAAGTGTGGGGGTTTTGAGGTTTGTGGTGGTGGTGGTGATGGTGTTGGTGGTGGGGGTGGCGCCACAGTGTTGTTGGCCTAGTTGGTGGAAGGGGTTGGAGGAAGGCCATGGAGAGAGATCAGATGAGGGAGAAAGAAGGTTTTTTTTTTTTATATATATATTTTTTTAGAAATAAGTTAAAAATAGTTAATTAATTTTTTTAAGTTAAAAAAAATTGAAATAAAACCAAAACTAACGTTTTTTTAACGGAAAGGGTACGGTAGGTATTTAGGGAAAAGTTTAGGTGTACCGGTGATAATGAAAGTTTAATGAAGTGTATCATTGAGAAAAGCCCGAACCTGGGGGGTATCATTGATAATTTCCCTAAAATAAAGTTAGTAGAATCAAATGGTGATTTGAATAGGAGATTGTATTATTATCCAAATCCTTCCACCAAAAACTCATACCACCCGATCTTCCATGATTACTCACACAATGTTTATTTTTGATTCGTTTGCTACTTAGGCTCTGTTCTGTTCACCTTTTTCCACTTATTTCAGGAAAATTAAGTTTAGATAAGGGTTAATAAGTTCGGATAAGTTGTGATAAAGGTTAATCAGGGCTACCCAAGTTCAATTTATAACTAAAATAAGTTCTAATAAGGGCTAATAAGTTCAGACAAGATAAGTTCAGATAAGTAAAAATCAGGTGAATAGAACGCACCCTTAATTTTAAGTGTTTAAATAGTTAGTAATTATGATTATAGGAAACAAAACTTAGCTTGAACATTATTATATTATTATTACCCAAGTTTCAACAATCACAATTTGTATTCAAGTAACTCAAAATTATATCAAAACATTACATTAGATAATAATATATTGGTACATTATTTATTATTCAAACTAATTTATCACATGGTAGGGCATGTTGTCTTTTGTAAAAACAAGAGATTATTACTAGGATCATGCCCAACATTGACATCAAAAAGAAGCTGATTTCCAACAATGTTTAACAAGGACTTTGTTCTAATTATTTGTAAGCACTCCAATTTATTTCCATTAGAGAAGGCCATAATCCGCCACAATGTACTCTCCTCAAACTCAAACAATGAATTACCAATGTCGATTCCGATAATAGGCCTCTTCTTCCCTGGCCACTAATTGTTTTCAGACTTTACTCCACTGTCATAACAAATTTCGAAAACGTAGTACTTTGTTGGAGGACCGCGTAACTCCTCTATCTTCTTCTTCAAGACCTCGAAAGCTCCGAGGTTAACTGTGTTAGGGTGGTGCCTGAGTCTACGATGAAGCCTCTTTGTCCGGACTCCGACATTTGGAATACTGATGGTTACACAGCTAAGTGCTCTCCGTTCACTTTGATGCCATAAACGTCGATGTAATAGTAGTCATAGTAGCCGTTTAGGAACATGTTTGCGACGTCGCCTTTGAGGTTTGCATCAGGACCAAACATTACAGCGTTGGTGGCTTTTAAGTCACTAGATATGCAATATGAGAACTTGGGATCATCTGCGTATAGCTGCTTTGGTAGAGAATACTTATTGTTGGATGCACCTGAATTTACCATACTTGTTAGTTTATTCATTTACATCAAGTTTTAAGTCCATTTTAGTTGACACGTTTTGATTTTAAACACATATTTAATTATTACTGCATGTAATTAATTCTTGAAAAAAAAAAGGTTATGTGAAATCTTATTGAATAAACCTCATCACATATTTTCAAATATTACTTTTTATTAATCTTTCATATTAAAAATTACAAATATTTACGAAGTATAATTTAAGTTATGCAATAGTAGTTACTCAAAAAAAAAAAAGTGATGCAATAGTAAACGTAAATTACGTAATTAAAGAATTTTCCTAAAAAAAAATTAATAAAAAAATAATAATAAAAAAATGTAATTAAAGAATGTTTTAACTAAAAAATAACAAAGTAATAGTAAAACGTATGGATATTTCAGGTCATGTGGACACAAACAGGTCCTGGACACATAACTCTTCAAAAGTCAGATTAGGATTTTGGGCCTTTTGGCCAATAAACCAGGCCTTGTACCATTCAATATTCAAAGCTCAACGTCAATTACCTTTCGGGACTATTACTTTATTAATTTATTTATTTATTTATTTATTTTAATAATATATTTTGCATTTAAAGATAATAACATTGTTATAGTTATGCATTAACAAATATGTATATGACGCAAGTAAAAAAAATGAACATAATTCGGAACTTCAAATATAAGATTCTCAAGCCTAATTCGGGCCAGTCCAAACCTCAAATAAATACATGCTGGTCCGGAATCTCAAGCTTAATTCCAACCAGTCCGAACCTCCAAGTGCGGGCTTAGCTTTTTTCCTCATCGAAAAAAATAAAAATAAATAAACAGACGCCAAAATTGGGATAGTAGAGCACATACCTATGATCCCCATCAATTTGATGCTGTTGTCCCAACTACATCCAAACATGTATTGTACCAACACATGATCTTTAGGCCAATCAAATGTGACGTCTTCGGTAGCCATCTCTCCATAAGCATTAGTACCATCTTGATATGTTACCTTAAACTCGCAAATATCTCCTAAATCATCGCAACCTCTGATAGCTCCGTATGCACCAGTGTCGCACAATTGCTTATTACTACACCTAATGGTGCTATAGGTGACTGACTGCGTTTGGTTAAACCACGGAAACTTCGATTTGTATGCAAGATTGTTACACTGAAACCATGTTAACCACTTCCTGTGTCAAAACTGGCATGCATCAATTGCTTTGGCTTACCCAAATACATGCTCATTACATGAAAGCCTGCATCTTTTTTAAAGGAGTATTGGCTTTTTTCGTTTGGGGATACTGATATTCTTGAAAGAAACCATGTCATGTAGTGGTTTCGATCTAAGGTGATGTTTCTTGCTGTTGTTGAGATGTTGTTGGCTTAGAGGATTTGAGTGTAGAATGGAGATTGAGGAGAAAATGGTGGGATCAATGGTGCAGTTAGGCCTTGAGAAGGAGAATAGGAATCCACAAAAAGGACTAGTGAGATGGTGAAAATTAGAGTGTTTGGAAGCATTTTGAGGTAAAGGAGAATAGCAAAAATTTTAATGATGGTTGTATATATGAAAATTGAATAAATGTATGATTTCTTCAAATGTCATAACATATTGTGAAAACATATATAATGTGTACACAATCAATGCATGTATGTTAAATTTGGTAGAAAATCAAATAGCAGTGTTATGTTTAAGAGTAAGGAAACAAATCGTTAATAATTGCTTGTAACAATTATTGTCTGTATTATTGGTCAATTGAAGACTTATTTTAAGACAAGACTTTTGTTATGCCAACACATGTAATACAATGGAACTAGATCTATTCGGATGTCTAAGTGTTTAGGTTAGGTCTATTCAAAATTGAATCGTGCTAAATTATTGTGTCTATGCGAGTCAAAATCTGAACCGCGTTTTGATTGGATCGAGTCAGATTTTGACACCTCTATATAAAAGGGACCACGTGTAGGAAAAGAGGAGAAAGGGAAGAAAAATAATGAGAGGCCCAACACATTACATGGTCCAAGCAACAATAGAAGAGAGAGATAAAAACAAAGTAACCCACTATCACGAGTTTAACCAATGATCATTTAAAGAGAAGCCCAACGCATAACATGGTCCAAGCAACATTAGAAGAGAAGCCCAACGCATTACATGTCATAGTTACAGTATAAATTTATAAGACCAATCTATATCATACTAAGTACCAAATTAAACAAATATAGATTAGTATAAAAAATTCTTTGTTGGTCTAATTTTATTACAACTATTTTAGAACTATTACTATCATAAAACTATTTTAGTTGAAATGTGAATACAAGATGGCTCTTTCCCTCATTCATAAGGAGTTATGTGAGCAATTAGGCAAATCAATTTTCGAGTCCTTTGACACCAATTCACAAAAAATTCGTAGCTTCATATTTGTGTTACATTATTATACTTCGTGATTTAATTCTCAATTGGGTAAAGTAGAATAATATTTTAAAATGATATTAGGTTGTTTGGGAACTTATAATTGAGTGGAAATACTTGAATTCAAGTTCAAGTTCATTGGTTGGCAAACTATTAAATTCAATTCCACAATTTGAATAACCATGTAGGCATGTACTGAAATCCAAATTCAAGAATTTCCCAAATAGATGAATTGATCCAAATCCAAAATTTCCCAAAAATTAATGTGAGAAAAGTTATTAAATCTTAGAGAAGTATACTTACTAGCCTGTTGCTGTAGAATTAAACTAATTATGGAGTAGGGCATGTAGTCTTCTGTAGATACAAGAGATTATTGTTAGGATCATGCCCAACATTGACATCAAGAAGAAGCTGACTTCCAAGGAAGGATATCAAAACATCTGACCTAACTATTTGTAAACACTCCAAGTCATTGGAGTTGGGAATATTCTCCCACAACAAACTCTCCTCAAACTCGAACAAAGAATTCTCGAATTCAAGTCCAATAATAGGCCTTGTCTTCCCTGGCCACCATTTTCCAAACGTTCCACTGTCGTAACAAACCTCGAAAATCATGTACTTGGTAGGAGGACCAAGTAGTTCCTCTACCTTCTTCTTCAAGGCCTCGAAAGCATCTAAGGCTAAGAAAGTAAGGGTGGTGCCTGAGTCTATGATGAAGCCTCTTGTCCCGGAATCCGACATCTGGAAAACTGATGGTGTCACAGCTAAGCGCTCTCCATTCAATTTGATCCCAAGAACGTCAATGTAATAGAAATCATACAAGGCGTTTTTCAGCATTTTGATGGCTTGGCCTTTGAGGTTTGCTTTAGGACCAAATATTAAAAGGTTGATTGTATCGTAGTCACTGGATATGCAGTATGAGAACTTGGGTTCATCCGGATATAGTTGCTTTGTGATCGCGTACTCATTGTTGGATGCACCTGAATTTACAACACCATGATAAACAAGATCACAAACTAGTTTTAGGCAAGGCAGACTTTACAGAACTCATTGTTAACATCTTAAAACTAAAACCTCTTATTAATTGAATATAACATATTATACTCCATCTATACTCAACCCAAAGTTTTTCCTCCAAAAAAAAAAAAAAAAAAAAAAAAAAAAAAAAAAAAAAAAGGCGCCAAAGTATTGAATCCCACGTACATATGACCCCCATCAACTTGGCGTTGTTGTCCCAACTGCATCCAAACCTGTATAGTAAAACTAAATGACCTCTAGACCAATCAAATGTGGTGTATTCAGTGGCCATCTCCCCATAAGCATTAGACCCATCTCCATATGTAAGATTAAACTCACAAGAACTTTGTAATTCATCACAGCCTTTGATATACCCATACTTAGTGTTGCACTTCTGCTTGTCATCACACCTTATAGTGCTATAGGAGAATGACTTTGTTTTGTTAAAACATGGGTATTTCACTTCACTTGCACACTTCTCACACTGGAACCATGTTACAGCACTTCCTGTGTCGAATATTCCATACAACAATTGCTGTGGAACACCCATATACATGTTCATTACATGTATGCCTGCATCTTCTTGAAAGTAGACCTCGCTTTCTTCATTCGGGGATACCAGAATATTTGAAACAAATTATGTCATGTAATGGTTCCGATTTAAGGTGATGTTTATAGCTGTCTTCAATATGTTATAGCTGTCTTCAATATGTTGTTGGCTTCAAGTATTTGAGTGTTGAATGGAGATTGGGGAGACATTGGTGGGATCAATGGTGCAGTTATACCTTTAGTAAGAGGGAAAAAACCACCCAAAGAAAGGATTAGTAAGATAGTGAAAGATATGATGTTGGGAAGCATTTTGAAGAAAAAGAATTATTGTGTTATTGTATGGAAGTTACTCTTTTAATCCTAAAGAGTCTTGTAAAAGTTACTCTGTTATAAGGGTTAATTATCCAAAAAAGGTACGTACTTTAAGGAAAGAAATCAATTTTAGGCCAACCATAAAAAGGCCAGTGTTATTCTAATGTTTGATAATAGAACTTTTCTTGATTGAAAAAGATAACCCCAGTGTAATCTTCCTAACAGAGAAATAACTTTGATATCTATTTACTCCCTTAAACGATAATAATAACAGCAATAATAAAAAATACTGTAAATAAATACATACTGGAGGCTGAGTAAAAAAAAAAAAAAAGAAGAAGAAGAAGGGAGGCGGGGGGCTTTAGTATAAGACTGGTGGCCTAACTCGCAAAATGTAATGGGCTTTTATGGGTTGGGCTTGAGCTTTGGTTTTAAACATTTTTGGGCTACCCAAACCCACATTATTACAACAACAACAACAAAGCCTTAGTCCCAAAATGATTTGGGGTCGGCTAACATGAGTCGTAAGGAAGCGTACAATATGAAAAGGGACATAACAAGATATTCAGTTTGAAAAAGGGGGACAAACCCACATATATTAAATTCAAAAAATACCAAACACTCAATGGAAAAGAATTCAGATAAGTTCAAGTAATAGGGCAGAGCATTTACCTAGAACAAGGTGGCAAACTGGCAATGGCCTAGCCATCAGAGGAACATTGATGCTGGGGTTTTCCAAAGTATGGACGATAATAGACAAGGAGATATATATAGGAGCAATCAGACCATCTGAAGCCAAGCTGTAACAATATCATAAGTATCAGTAAACATATCTTACGAACTGTACCAATTGGAACTTTAACACAAAATGACCATTTTCCTTAAACATAAAGAGTGTGAAAGTAACTAGGCAGATGTAATCCAAACTTTTCTTGAAATACCAATTCTCAGAAAGTCAGAATAATTAATAGATTAACAAGGTCAACAGCTCTATATGTATTTACAATGTGCTTTGTATATACATGACAACAAAAAACCCATCCTGAACACAGTGGATGATTTAGACAGGACCAAAAGGGGTCTGAAAGAAAGAGCAAAGACAGCATGACATCAATCAACTCTCATCTAGGAAAAGGCCTTTTGGAGCTCAGAGACTGCACATTATACCCTACTTGCTTTCTAACTTTTATTTCAGATTCCTCATAAGAGTAACCACAATAGCATGAGCTCTTTCTGATAAGATCCGCAAGCAACTTACAGCAGAAATGCTTGGTATATCAATCTAAATGGATAAAAAGCAACATATCAATTGTCATCCTAAAGGTCATTTTGTTTTCTTCCTGCTGCAGAAGTTAAGATCACATTCGCAATATTAAGATACCAAACGTAGCATTTGTCTACTCTGCTCACAATATTATAAGACAGAAAAGCCTGAATGCTTTGCAAACCTAACAATAGAATCATACGAATTGTACAGGGTTCCATGAGTAAGCAGGTACTGGAGCACTTCAAACATCAAGATAAAAACCTAAAAGTGAGAGGGCAAATAATAGTCACAAGCTCACAACAAAACTAGGTACAATGGAAAACTCATCAGTTCCTTTATGTCCATACAGATATTTACTGCAAAATAGGCTTAAAGGAAATTAAGTTAAGCAACTTTATATTCATATTTTATCCATGGAAAAGTTAGATTGGCACTCTGCCTATCCTGAAATAAGATGCACAATTTCCTTTCTTGGATACCCCAAAATAATTTGCACACTTTTTCTCTCAACCAATTTCGTTTGCTTTATTCCATTACTCTTACCTTTGTTTTCCTCTACCCTCTATTATTAATATCCATGCCAAAAGCAATTGAGTAACTTATTTGGGATCGGGGGTGTACAGTAGACATGTCAGATTGAAGATTACTCATATAAACTGCTAAATTTAACAAAGTATACAGTAATTAAGCAACAATAAGAAGAAACACCAATATTAAAAACAACTAGGGACTTTAGATCAGGCTAAGGAAAACCAACATTGAGGAAAGTCATGCAAACGACAATCAAATAGATAATTTTGGTCAGCACATGATTACATACAGCTATAAACAGATTTTAAGTTTCAGTACAGATAGCCCCAATGCCCTCAAGAACAAGGAAAGTCATGAAGCAAAAAGGAGACTTAAGACTAACTCGTGAACAGACCGAAGAGGCTATCAGCTAAAGAGATGGGAAAAAGAATCTGGGAGCTGCTTGTTTGGACTTTGGATAACATGATTAGCCCTTGTAAATAAGCATTAATCAGTTCAGCAAAAGGCATCTATGTTACACATAAAGCACAATAGATAGGTAGGTTGGAAATTTAATGCAGATAGATTTAGAGGCAAAGATAAATTGAAAAAATAAATAAATAAACTTTCCATCAAAGTATATTAACAGCTCAGTAGCTCACCTTACCTCCCTTGCCATCATTGGCTCCAAGCAATAGCAATGATCAATAAGTGAAAATGCAATATCTGACTTCAACAATCTTGTATTTTGCCATGAATTTCACGCCACAATAGCATAGATTTATTGTCCACAAGATGCTTGCTTTCATAAACAATATAACTACATAATTCATGTCGGGGCTCTGGTTTTAGAGACCTTAATTGAGTCAAGGGATCAGTGAACTTAGACTTATTGTACAGCTCCTTTGCTGGCTGGACGTGATTCCACCAGAAATCATCTAAAGCTGTCTTTATAGCATCCCAATATTCAACATCTCGATACAGCCTAAACAAACTGCTTCCATTTGGGGTCCAAACATAGAGATCCATCCAATCCCTATCCAGTATCTCCATTAGACCTTGTGCCTGTGGCATACAATAAAGTGGGATTCGCTTCCAAGGGAAAGCTTTGTTAATATCACCATCAAAAAAGGGGCACTTAATCTCCAACACTCCCTCCGATGGCAAACCATAAACATTTTCTTCAACAACCCCATCAGGAGAGGCACCAAGCCAACCATCACCATTCAAGTTATTCTTATTAAGAATCTGAAATTTAGGAAACACAACAGACTTGTCAGTTAATATCTTGTACCATTCCAGAGCTTCCTCCTCATTGATATTGTTATAACAGGTCGCGAGATTACCAGAAAAGGGTTCAATCGCCCCTATCTTCTCTAACCACAATTGAACTCTCCTACGAGGCCAAAACCCAATTGCAGAGCTAAAAGTACTTGCAGTAAGCTTGTTCTTTCTTAATTTCTGCCAATTCTTGAACCAATGCTGAAAACAACTTGCTTGAAGTACATCATATGTACCACTAATATAAGGAGGGTGATTGGTATTGTGTATGTTGCGATAAATACACTTACGACTATTCCTAATTAGGATGTCCCAGTTATTGAACCTTCCTCTGAAGCTGGTATGTTAAATGAATAGAAATATGTTAAAAAATTATATTGACAATGAGATCAACAAACTTATAACAGCAATAACAAACACATAGTATGCAAAACATAGGCAAAAACCCAGATGAGATGTCCTATTATTGCAGCCATTTAAGTGTTACAACATGACATTCGATATCATAACATCAAATGCCACTAAAGTGCAGGGCCAACCCTGAGGCAGGGCAGGCGGGGCGGCCGAGTTGGGGCCATGATGAACCCCAGATTATGAAATTGATAAACATTTTCATAGTTTTGTCCTACAATAAAGAACTATAAACAACAGCCTGCAATACATTAGCAATCACATTTGACTCAATTATCAAATTAGGCTCCAACAACATTGATTTCTTCTTACTTAAGAATAATAACAATAGCAAAATTATAGAAACAAAATCGATCATTTAAATCGTTTCAGTCAGTAATACAGTACTAACATTTCAATAATCCACTTAAGAGGAACCCTAAATTGAATATACTGGCAATTAAATTAAACCCTAAATTGTAAAATTGATATTCGGTGATTTAAAAAAATTAACAATAATATCTTACCTCAGAAGCTGCTTCATTGGAGGAGGAAAAGCTCGGAAGCTTCTGCAATGGAGATATCAGACTACGCGCTTCAATGGAGAAGACAGAGAGAGAGAGGGCGCAGCTTAAGAATGAAGGAGGTCCAAAGGAGGAAGAAATGAAAACATAGGTGTAAGGTTTGGGGTTTATCAAAGGGTTTTGTCCATTAATTTTGTCCGAAATAACAAACGCACCCATATAGGAGAAATAAAAGTGAAAATATTAAGGTAAAATAAAATTTTACAACACCTGATATGGCATACATTTCAAAACTAACTCTATCTTAGGTTATAATACGAGTATTAATTAGTTATCTAACGTCTTGAGGCTCGTTAGCAAGATCAAAACTAAAATTAACGATTATAAACCAATTTCATTTAAGCATAGAGTGTTATTAAAATGTTAGTTAATTAATATTAAGATGATCAAAAGCAGGTTGATACATATTCATTTATGTCGAATAAAATTTAAAAATATGTTTGGTATGAGCTGTAAATAGATTACTAATTAGATATGTTATGGTAGGGTGATATGAATACTAAGTAGAGATGATTGGTTATCGAGATAGATGATGGAGCGAGTGAGAATTTTAAATCATAAACCAAATGTTAGGCAACTATGAGAATAATGAACTAAGTTTACAAATTTTTTAGTATGCTCAACCAATACCAACCTAGTAAATTGATAGATAATGCCATTGACGGTCTAAAATTAAATTATAAGTATACCCTTCAAATATCAATGAAAATATCGAAAAACAAGTATATATTATTACTCCTACGTATTTTTAATAATGAATCAAATTTTGTGATATTTTTACTCAACTTATAAAAGTCGAACAATATAACGTACCACTCTGATATCATATATGACCGTATCCGTGTAACCTAATTTAAGGGTGATCGTCTTAGTTCTTACATACGGGGTAGCATAACAATCCCATGTAAGGAAAAAATAAAAAGAGCGCGAGCGAGTGTGCATTGTACACCCCGTACACAAGTCACAACTACATATTATACCACTCTCAAAATATATAAAGAATACACAATTCTCTCTCCTTCCAACTGAACACACTGATTAAACTCACACATTCAAACCTCTGTTTTCCAATTTCTTTGAAGATTCTGAATTGCAATGGAAGACCAGCAAGATAGTCAACAATCTGTAACCAGCCCTTCTGTATGATTTTCTTTAACTGGGTTTTTTGTTTTATAATCTAAATTTGTTTTGCTTAATCTTAGTAGTAGAATTTTGGTGTTGTTCTTTGATAATCTCTCTCAATTAAAATCTGCATTTTCGATTTTCAGTGTTAATTACACCTTCTAAATGACTTATTAATGGCTAATTAACAGAAAGAAGTTAATGGGTGTTTAATTTTTGGTTCATTCAACTTTGCATTTTTTAGAAATGTCGAGTGTTTGCTTGTTGTATGTTTTGATTTTCTGCTTAATGTCAGAATCTTGGTGATGTTCTTTGATTATCTCTTGTTAATATGAAATTGTCGTACCCTCCCTGTTCAATTGACAAATCTTTAGAATGATTTATGATTATGAGAAGGAAGTAAATGGGTGTTTATCAATTTGTTGGTTTGCCTCTTTTTTTTTTTTCTTTGCAATTTTTCCTTCCAACAATTCTTGTTAGTCGACCCCGAATCATTTTTGGGACTTAAGATTTTGTTGTTGTTGTTGTTAGTATGCAGCCTTTTTTGATCGGATTTATAGTTATTGGTTATTTGGAAATGTATAGCAGATTTTAAAGGCTGTTTAATTTTTGGGTATTTCAGTTTCATCAAGGTGGTTATCTTCTGGAACATATATGCGATAATCCACAGCCTACTAGCCAAACTGGTGAACATCTTGGGTCTAATGTGCAACCTGTAACAAATCTGCAGTTGAATAGCCAAACTGGTGAACACCTTGAGTCTAATGTGCAACCTGTAACAAATCTGCTGTCGATTAGCCAAACTGGTGAACATCATGCGTATAATTACTATAACATGCAACCTCAAAGAAATTCACTGCCTAATAACCAAATTGTTGTACATCAAGGGTATGATCTGCAACCTAGAAATCAGCAGTCTAATAGCCAAACTGTTCGACATCAAGGGTATAATCAACGTCGAAGAAGTCTGCAGTCTAACAGCCAAACTATTCAACATCAGGGGTCTAATCGGCAACCTCAAAGAAATCTGCAGTCTAACATTCAAACTGTTCAACCAGGAACAAGTTCACATCAATGGCACTGGCTTCAGCAATCTGGTCATATGATTCCCAGTACTGGAAATCAGCTGGGATATGCATATCCTTATTTAGGTATGCTTGAGAACCTCTCTTATTCGTGTTAGATAAGCACTTTGGTAGTCATATTCTGCTGATTGTCTAATATCTTCACTAGACTATAAGTGCCTAGTAGATTGGATTTTTCTTTAAATTGATTACATTACACTTATATCATTGAAGTTTTTGCGTTACAACAAAGGCTGTAACAACGATCTGTAAGGCTTTTCACGTTACAACAAAGGATGTAACAGCTTTCTGTTAGGTTTATTGCAATTAATAAAAAAAAAAAAAAAAAAAATCAAATCAAAGCTGCAACTCCATTCTTGAAAAGGTAGGACAAACATCCTATGTTGGTGGCAAAAAGTTCATATAAGTTTTCAAGTGAATTGTAGTTATGTTTTTGTATTTGGGATCTTATATTTGTCTATACTATTTTAACTTCAATTAATATGTTGAATTTGACATATGTATATCAGTATATCTAACTGTTTATGAAAATATTATGCATATGCGTCATGAATTGGTATTGGGTATATGTGCAGTCCAACCATGGAATCCCCTTTCTTCAAGATGTGAACTGCTGCAAATGGTACCACAACCAATGACAAACGTCTCACCTGCTTCATTTCAATCTCAAGGAGGAAACGTAAACCCAATCATTTGGATTTCTCAACAGCAATATTATGAACTGATAGGAAGAGAGGTCTGATTCTGATACTCTTAATAGTCTTAGGAGCTGTACGTTAAATAAGATTTGATCCTGTCCTCTTTTGTATATGCAATGCACCATTATAAAAGGTCTCCTGAGTAATCCTATTCTGTTACATTCTTGTGTTTGGCATGTGCAGGCAGAGATGAATTGCCGCATAGTGAATCTTTATCAATTGACTAACGACTTGCAAGCTCAATTGAATGATCACGAAAATCGGATCAGATTGCTGGAGGCAGGATTAAATAATCTAATCACAGGGACAAATGGACTTCCCAGTCAGTGATCAAATTTCAGATGGTGATGATCTTGCGGCATTCTCGGCTGATCATGTTCACTTCTTAGAACCTTTATCTCTTTTGACTATGCAGCCTTTTATTCTATTTTGTAGCTGAATGTGTTACTGTCTCTAGCGGAATTCGTAGTGTTCTACTGCTACCATTTGAACAGGAGTTAAGTGTATAGGATAGTATAAAAGGTACAGGAATATTTTAGCATGCACTTGAATTTACTATGCATTCATTAAGTAGGTGTTATCTGAATTTTTTTGTACAGAATACAGTGCCTTATGTAATACGGGCAAATGGAAACAAATAAGCATGTATGTAAATGTCTATTTGATTGTTCATTTGTTCCTGCTTTTTTGTTGCTATCAAATACTTGCTCCTTTGCATAAATGCTGCCATTCTTGATTCTCCCTTCACATTGTAGTTCAGTAAAAGCAATTTATCCATTATTTGCATGACTAGCATAGTAGCATGTTAATTGTTGGACGTTGGAATTTTAGTCTAGTGTTAAATATATAAATTATAACCATGTTTTCAGATAATGAGATAAGCGCAGGATTATATTATAAAAAATCAGCTCACAAGCAAATTTGACATACAACTTTGGAAAGAAAACAATATCTTTGTAAAAAAAATTAAAAAGAATGTGTATAAATTTTAGGGTAGAATTTGGAGTTGTAAGTGGTTCGAAGTTGAGAAATTGATGCCTCAATTACACACTAGGTTGTTTTGAAAAAAAAAAGAAGTAACTTGTGAATAGGGGAAAAAAAAAAGAAAAAAAAGAAAAAAATACGAAAATTTGGGATAGACAATCAAAATGAAAGTAAATGCATGTATTAAATACTGTAACAAAAATAATATTCAATAAAATAATTTCAATTTAGTAAAAATAATTTCAATTTAGTAAGTTGACTACTTTTCAAACAACGCATAAAATATCACACTGATATCACACAAGTGATGTATTCGTGTAACCTACCCTGAATGTACTTCACCCTCACGATTGTTTTGGTCCGATATTTGCGGGTCAAACACTTTGAGAGTGAGAGGGATGGGTAAGGGATCCTCTCCCTCAAAAGTGTCTCTAATGAGGATTGAACCCTCAACCTTGGTAATTTTTTATTTAAGGTAACAAAGTTTCTCTAATGGGGATTGAACCCTCAACCTTAATAAATTTTTCTTTTTTTAAAAGTAAGGAGAATTTCCTTGCAAGTGGGAGGAAATTAAGGTTTCCTTCACAGGGATGAAATGAGAGCCTCCAACCATTAAGCCAACCTTAATAAGTTAATTCTTTCGTGTAACATAAATTAAGGGCGATCTTCTTACATAGGGACTACCGAGTCGCATAATCCCATATTCCCATGTAAGGAAAAAAGAGCGCGAGCGAGTGTGCAATTGTGACCCGTACACAAAAAAACAAGTCACATCTACACGACTACACATTATACTTCTCTGATTCTCTCAAAAATAACATTCAAAATTTTGTTTTCCTAAAATTGGAACAATTCACTTCTCTTTCCTTACTACTGAACACACTGATTAAACCCACACACTCAAACTTTCAAAATTCTTTGAAGCTTCTGAATTGCAATGGATGACCACCAACTTAGTCAAGAATCTGAAACCGGCCCTTCTGTATGATTTTCTTTAACTGGGTTTTTTTTATTATTTTTTTTATTGTGATCTTATTTTCTTTTCCTTAAATCTTATTAGTAGAATTTTGGTGTTGTTCTTTGATAATATCTTTCAATTATATTCTGCATTTTTTATTATCTGTGTTAATTATACCTTCGAAATGACTGATTCATGGTTAATTAAGAGAAAGAAGTCAATGGGTGTTTAATTATCCGGTTCATTTGGCTTGGCATATTGTAGAATATTGCTTGTTTTCATGTTTCGATTCTCTGCTTAATATCAGAATCTTGGTGATGTTCTTTAAATATCACTTTTTAATATGAAATTGTTGTTCCTTCCTTGTTCAATTGATAAACCTTTAGAATGATTTATCAATGGCGGATTATAAGAAAGAAGTAAATGGGTGTTTATTAATTTGTAGAATTGGTTCATTCAACTTTAGCATATTGCATAACAAATTAAGGTGGCATATTTGTCTCTTTTTTTTTTTTTTTTTTTTGGCAACATTACCTTACAACAATTCATGTTAGTCGACCTCAAATCATTTTGGGACTTAAATTTTGTGTTGCTGTCGTTGTTGTTGTTAGTATACAGGCTTTTTTTTATTGGATTTGTGGTTATTGGTTTCCTGGACATGTATAGCAGTTTTAAAAGGCTGTTTATTGTTTGGGTATTTCAGTTTTATCCTGTATATAATGATGTCAATTGGCCTTCTCTGCGACATTCAACCAATTCACAGCCTAAAAGCCAAACTGGTGAACATCCTGGGTCATATCTGCAGCCTCTAAATAATCTGCAGTTAAATAGCCAATCTAGTGAACATCTTGGGTCTGATCTGCAACCTCAAAGAAATCTGCAGGCTACTTACTAGCCAAACTGATGAACATCTTGCCTTTCATCAGCAACCTCAAAGTAATATGCAGTTTAATAGCCAAACTCGTGAACATCTTGGGTCTAGCCTGCAATCTCGAAGAAATCTGCAGTCTTATAGCCAAACTGATGAATATCTTGGCTCTCATCTGCAACATCCAAGTAATCTGCAGTTTAATAGCCGAACTGGTGAACTTTGGCCTAATATGCAACCTCGAAGAAATCTGCAGCCTAATAACCAATCTGGTGGAAATCTTAGATCTGTATTTGAGTTGTGTTCTCATGACATTCAACCAAATCAACCAGAAACATGTACACATCAACTACACAGGCTTCAGCAATCTGATCATATGGTTTCCAGTATTGGCAGTCAGCTGGGATCTGCAAATCCTCATTCAGGTATGCTTGAGAACCTCTCTTGTTCGTGTTGGATAAGCACTTTATTACTCATGTTCTGCTGATTGTCTAATATCTTCATTAGACTATAAGTGCCTAGTAGATTGGATTTTTCTTTGAATTGATTACATTACACTTATATCTTTGAATGTTTCGCGTTACCACAAAGGCTGTAATAGCTTTCTGTAAGGCTTTTCACAAATTTAAAAAAAAAAAAAAAATCAAATTAATGTTGCAAGTCCATTCTTGAAAAGGTAGGACTAACATCCTATGTTCAATCAATCAATCAAAGCCTTAATCCCATAAGTGGGGTCGGCTAATATGAACCAAATTTGATTATTCCGTGTAGTCATTAACATAAATCTTCCTCCTCCATCCCTTACGATCCAATGCTTCATCCTCATGCAAATCCATACACTTCATATCCTTCCTAACTCCTTCCAACCAAGTCATTTTCGGTCTCCCTCTCCCTCGTTTAGCCCCTCCATGGTCCCACTCTTCGCAGCGGTGCAAAAAAAAGTTCATATTTGTTTTCAAATGAGTTGTACTTATGTTTTTGTACTTGGGATCTTTTTGATAATTGGTCTGTACTATTGCACTTTATCTTCAAATATGTTGAACTTGACATATGTATACCTAATTGCTTATGAAAACGTTATGCATATGCACCATGAATCGGTATTGAGTATATGTGCAGCCGTACAAAGGAATCCCCTTGCTTCAAGTTATGAACTGCAGCAAAGTGCACCACAACCAGTGACAAAATTCCCACCTGCTTCATTTCTGTCATCTCAAGGAGGATATGTAGACCCATCCATTTGGAATAGTCAAAAGTATTATGATCTGATAAGAAAAGAGGTCTGATTTCGATTATTGACAAGTCAAATTTTGTTGAAGTAGGTTGGTATCAAGGAGAAATGCCGATGAAAAATAATAAAATACTGATCTATATATGCTAGTAAAGATGCATTTCTTAAAGAGCTTATTTAGTATCTTGTATGCAATACACCATTGTAAGAACACTCGCGAAATTCATATCCATACCCTTGATTTACTATCTTATACTCTTAATAGTCGTTAGAAGATTTTCGAAATTTAATAAGATTTAATCCTGTCCAATTTTGTTTATGCAATGCACCATTATAAAAGGTTTCCTGAGTAATCCTATTCTTGTACATTCTTGTATTTGACATGTGCAGGCAGAGATACATGACCAGTTAGGGAGTCTTAATCAACCTAATAACCGCCTGCAATCTGAATTATTGATTTCTTGCATAACTTGCATTAGACTGCTGGCGGCAGAATTTAGTGAACTGAAGCAACCACAGAGACAAATAGATGACTGTGAAAGTCACGTTAGAAGGCTGGATGCAGAATTAAATAAGCTGAAGAAGCAATCACAGGGACACTTGGATTACTACGCAAGTCACATTTCAAGGCTGCAGGAAGAATTAAGTAATCTGAAGCAATCACAGGAACAAATGGCAAATGACATACACCATATTTCTGCAGGGAAGGCATCAGAAAAGAATATATCAGGAAAGTCTACTCCTTCAGATGATACTTTGCCTTCTACTGGTATAGTTAATTTTCATCTGGGAGGCGGAAGTGCTTCTTCTAACAATTTCCTCGCAAGAGCTTTGCAAGATGGTGTAAAAATAGGTGATTCTTACAAGCTGGATGAACGGAATCCGCTGGTTCAAAGTGGGAGTGGTCTTTGTTCAAGCTCAGGAGTCAAGATCAAATCTGGTGAACAGTCCAAGGGACCAGTTAATATGGCTGCAAGGGAAGGTTATCTGCTACTAATATACACAGAGATGAGTTTATTACAGAATTAAGCATAATACAAGGTGAGAAGAAGAATGATGGCAACACTCGGGGATCTCCCAGTAAGTGATCAAATTTCAGATGATGATGATCTTGAGGCGTTCTCGGCTGATCATATTCACTTCTTAGAACCTTATTCTCTTTTGACTGTGCAGCCTTTTTCTATTTTTTAGCTGAATTTTTTACTGTCTCTAGCAGAATTCATAGTGTTCTGATACTACCATTTGCAATAGGCCAGGGCTTAAGTGTATAGGAGAGTATAAGAGGTACAGCAGGAATTTTCTAGCATGCACTTGAATTTACTATATTCATTAAGTAGGTGTTATCTGAATTGTTTTGTACAGAATACAGTGCCTTTTTGTATGTACTACAGGCAAACGGAAACAATTAAGCATGTATGTAAACATCTATTTGATTGTTCATTTGTTCCTGTTTTTTTGTTGTTATATCAATTACTTACGCCTTTGCATAAGTGCTGCCATTCTTGATTCTCGCTCTCCTGAGTCTCCTCACATTGTATGTCAGTAAAAGCAATTTATGCATTATTTGAGTGACTAACATGTTGTTGGTCGTCAGAATTCTAGTGTCAAATACAAGTGCCCCAGTTCCCTACCATACCAATTCAGCAAACTACAACCTTGTGTTCAGATAAGCGAGAGTATATAAAGTAAAATCAGCTCACGAGCAAATTAGACATAAAACTTTGGAAAGAACACAAGAACATTGTAAACTTCAGAAACTTTAGCATTTGGTTTACTCTGATATTGTTGTTAAGCATCTTTTCATGGATACGGCACTTGATCTATTGACAGTAATTCTTGAGCCTATGTTAAAGTCCTATGTTACATACACAGATGCACTGGATTGACGACTTGGCATAATGTAATGTCAAGTGTAAGGTATACTTCGTAACTGATATAGGCAATGGAGACGTTCATAATGTATATTAGTAAAGACGTACATCTATCTTATATTGCCTTTAAGCAAGTCCATATGAATTTTGGGTCTGATCTACCCATCTTAGGTCATGCTTGTATTTCAGTTAGTTATAAAAGAAGGCACGTGAACTCCCTACAGATGTTTGACTATGTTTAGAACTTTAGATTACCTACTCCGTTATTTTTATTTATTTGATAGTAAACTGGATTGTTCGTGAGCATCTTGTTTATTTAATGGGTGATTTTTATGAACAAAGTTATTTATAAAAGAGAATTTTCAATAAATGAGCTTTGTATTTTTGACATATGAAAATATATTAGCATAATAATTATCTTAATTATAAAATATAGATATAAATTAACAAATGTGAAAAAGATATTAATTTTATGAACAGTTTTAAAATGGTCATTTTATATCAAACGTTTTACATAAAAGAACTTTGCATTTTCAAAATACCACATCCACAAATATGTCTATGTTTGTGTCCAAGCTCATTTATTAATTTATTCAAACTCGACTCAAACCTGAATAGTTTATCGATCGATTCATCTACATCACCTAGCCAAGCACATTGCTCAATAAACAAGATTCATTAGTGGTTAACCAACCTATCCCACTCTTTACAATTGACTTACCACTTACATCCCGATCTAAAATTCAATCATGAGATCTAAATAAAATTCTGCTGGTGACATACTGACATACACAGATAATTTAACTACAAATTAGGCATGATATACAAAGTGACAAGGAGAATGCTTATACTTCCAAATAATAATGGGCTGGGCTATACATTATTATTTATGGGCTTGGAAAACTTAGCATAGTGTAGAATATGGGTAAATGGAAACAATTAACGACAATTTGATGGTCCAGATTAGAGGTGATCATCAATTGGGATAAAACTAATACGATTTAAAATCGAATCAAATCACAAACCAAATGAATTAATAATGCGGTTTGTTTAATAAAAATTATAGTTCGGTGCGGTTTGAAAAATAAATAAATTACAGTTTGCGATTTGCTTTCGATTTTAGGATTTGAAAACCAAAAACCAAACCAAAATACAGACTCATATCTAAATTGCAGCCCAAATCTAATTTTCAGCCCTAATATATAAGGCCAAAAATAGGTTATGTTTGTTCGGCCCAAAAAAGTAACAAATAAAAACCCAAAATACTATGCACAAAAAATTGTGGTGCGGTTTGGATTTTTTTTTATTTTAAAAAAAAATGAATAAAAACAATGTGATTTGATTTTGACCGAAATATAAGATAATTCGGTGCGGTTTGAAAAATCCCAAACAAAATTAATATGGTTTGGTTTTGGTTTAGGCTATAAACCACACCGCAAACCAAATTTTTACCCCTAATCATCAATGGTCCGACTCACTAGTCTGATCCGGCCCGGCTCAAAAATAGTGCGAGTTTTGACAAGGCTAAAAACACTCCTTTTAGTTCTAAACCTGAAAAAGCCCAAAAAATCAACCCGAAAGTGAGTTTTTTTTTTTTTTTTAACCACCTGAAAGTGAGCTTGAGCAAGTGCGTAGCATATCCATACATATATTATACTTTGAACTACCTCCATTTTGCATCAATCGGGACACTTTTCTTTTTCATCCATTTCATATTAATTGCAACAATTCCTTATCTGGTAAGGATGCAATGCTACGAAGTATTTTCTCTCCGTTTTTTAAATGCAACAAATTTGATTCTTTCTACCATTCAATCAATAGCTTTGACTTATATTTTTAACTAATGTATAATAAATAAATTTTGTCATGCAGTATATTGATGAATTATCTACAATATATACTTTGGAGATATCAAAATTTCATAATTTATATTAATACAAAATTAAAGATATCAATAATCAAAGTTGTGTATCGATAAGCATGTCCAGCTAAACTGTTGCAATTAAAAAAACGGAGGCAATAATCCATATTTTTTACTCCTATCAAGCCCACGACTCTGTTATGTTCACCTGGTAAGGCTCGAACCAAGTTGAGTGCCCTACCAACTCTTGGTTAATACTCTACTCGAGTACTTCGTACCAATTACCAAGTTTCTTGGTTAATAGTTCGAATGATCAGATCGGGTTCAATGAGGTCGGGTCGGGTCGATTTTAAAATTTAATCATGCTAAATTATTGTGTTTACCAAATTAAATATTTTTCGATTCGATTTTAAATCGAATCGAATGTGATTTTGACCCTTCTAATATTGATTAGTACAAAATGGAGGGAGATATTGAATCGCTTATAAAAACACGTATAAACCTCTGAAAGAACCCGAACATTAAAATTTCCAAATATAGAAAAGAATTAAGCTCTGTCTCCTTCCCCTGCACACTGAACACTGATTAAAACCAGACTTTGAAGATTCTAAATTGCCATGGCACGAGCACGATATTGAAGATTCTGGAACGAGTTCTTCTGTATGATTTTCTTTAACTTGATTTATTTTAATCAAATTTTGTTCTGCTTAAGTATTGTTAGTATAATCTTGTTATTGTTCTTTGATGATTTCTCTCAATTGCATTCTGCATTTTCGATTTTCTAGGTTGGTTATACCTTCGAAATGACTTATTAATGGCTAATTAAGAGAAAGACATTAATGGGTGTTTGATTATTAGTTCATTCAACTTGGCATAATGTAGAAATGTCGCATATTAGCTTGTTGTATGTTTTTGTTCTGCTTAAATTATTGTTAGTATAATCTTGGTGTTGTCTTTGATGATTTCTCTCAATTGAATTCTGCATTTTCGATTTTCTAGGTTGGTTATACCTTCGAAATGACTTATTAATGGCTAATTAAGAGAAAGAAATAAATGGGTGTTTGATTATTAGTTCATTCAACTTGGCATATTGTAGAAATGTCGAATATTTGCTTGTATATTTTGATTTTCTGCTTAATATCAAAATCTAGGCGATGTTCTTTGATTATCTCTAATTAATATGATAATTTCCATGCCCTCCCTGTTCAATTGATTATGATGATTTATCAATGGGGAATTAAGAGAAAGAAGTAGGTGGGTGTTTGATCTGTTTATTAATTTGTTGGTTCATTCAATTTAGCATATTATAGAATAAATCAACGTGACATGCTTGCTCATTTTTTAGCAACGTTTCCGTGTTAGTCGACCCCGAATCATTTTGGGACTTACATTTGTTGTTGTTGTTGTTGTTTTTATGTAAGTTCTTGATCGGATTTGGATCAATTTGTTTTATTGACATGAGTAGCGGTTTCTAAATGTGGTTTAATTTTCGGGTTTTTCAGTATGATCCTATGGATGAAGATTTTGGGTCTTTTCTGCAGCTTTTAACCAATTCACAGCCTAGTAGCCAAACTGGTGTACATCTTGGGTCTAATATGCAACCTCTAAGAAATCTGCAGTCTAGTAGCCGAACTGATGAAGAAGTTAATTCTGGTCTACAACCTCTAAGAAACCCGCAGTCTAATAGCCCAACTGGTTCAGAATCCATGAGGAAGAAGCTCAAAGAGGCTAGCCCTTTCCACAACAATTACCCTCCTATATTTCCTCGCCATTCTCCAGCAATTCTAAATTTTAATGGAGTTGAATCTGGTACTAAGCAACAACAGCAGCTAGTGGTAGGCCTGGAAGCTTCTACAAGTAATAATTCTAATGTTGCACTTGATCCTTCCCCTTCTAATCCTGGAAGTCTCCCGTCACAAAGCTTGTTGAATCCTGGTTTTAATCGAGCCCCATCACATCAGTTGTTGCCTCGTTTCATTTCCCCAAATCAACCAGGAATAAGCTCACAGCAAAGGCCGAGGCTTCAGCAATCTGATCATATGATTCCCAGTATTGGAAGGCCTCGTCTTATTTCCCCAAATCAACCAGGAATAAGCTCACAGCAAAGGCCGAGGCTTCAGCAATCTGATCATATGATTCCCAGTATTGGAAATCAGCAGGGATCTGCATACCCTCATTCAGGTATGCTTGAGGAACCTCTCTTGTTGTGTTAGATGAGCACTTTGTTACTCATGATCCGTTGATTGTTTAATGTCATCATTGGAATATGAGTGCCTAGTAGATTGGGATGTCTTTAAATTCAATGAAGTTTTCATGTTACAACAAAGGCTGTAACAGGTTGACAGAGTAACAGCTTACTGCAAGGCTTTTTGCAAAAAAAAACAAAAATTCAAATTGAAGTTGCAAGTCCATTTTTGAAAAGATAGGACTAACATCTTAAATGGCAAAAAGTTCATATTTGTTTTCAAGCAAGCTGTACTTATGTTTTTGTACTTGGGATCTTTTTGATAATCGGCTTATTCTATTGTTCTAACTCTTCAATTAATATGTTGAATTTGACATATAATTGCTTATGAAAATGTTGAGCATATGCGTCATGAATTGGTATTGGGTATATGTGCAGCTGGACAATGGAATTCCCTCTCTTCGAGTTATGAACTGCAGCAAAGTGC